TTTTTTTGTAATCACAAGGTGAATCCTTCCCTCCTTTATCTGCAGGATTGTCAGCAACTTCCTGATGGATATTTCTGCCTGTGCCTGGAAATGACCCAACAACCAGACTACAACATTTGCACTATGAAGGCATTTTTGTCCAAACTTTGTCCATGTGCTAATTTCTCCCCTAAAATTCTGGTGGAGCCATGAGCAAGGGTGAAATTTAAATATTCCTTATGTAGTTGTGAGACAGGGAGTACATTTTTGGTGGGATTTTACGTGGAAAGAAGGCTCAGCTGTTGGGGTACCAGTGTTTACAAGGATTACATTCAATTATGGCACCCTGTCAGGAGTGTTCTGTGAAAAGCACAGAAGGAATTCCAGCTGGGAAAGAGCTCTGGCATTGCCAGCAGAATTCAGGCAGAACTGAGATACCTTAGGGCCAAAATCACAATGGAAAATCACAGAATCCCACCTCTGCTGGGAGGTCAAAAAATATTGGAGATCCCTTCCATTGAGATGATCCAGGGATAAAGTTTCCCCCTTTTTTTGGAGGGATATGGAGCAGACTATGTGAGAGGTGGATATCTGCACAGCTGTAGTTCTTAAAATGAAATCAAGAAAGGAATTCTTGCATAGAATGAAATAATTTGCAGTCAGTGCTTCAGGTGAGCTTCCTGAGATGTTTTCCTCTCCCATCCACTGTCCTTAAATGGCTTATCCAGAGCTCCAGGTTGCTCTCAAGGAGCTCTGTGCCTACGTGAAATGAGCATTTCAGTTACTAAATCAATGGAGGAGAAAAAGCTTTTCAAAGTTTACATCCTGCAAACATGTACAGAAATGATAAAAGAATTTTGGAATTCTGATGGCCTGCAGCAAAAAATTAAAGAATTTCATAGAATCCCAAAGTGGTTTGGAAGGGACATTAAAAAATATCTCGTTCCACCCTTGCCAGGGCAGGACACCTTCCACTGTCCCAGGTGCTCCAAGCCCCAGTGTCCAACCTGGCTTTGGGCACTGCCAGGGATCCAGGGGCAGCCACAGCTGCTCTGGGCACCTGTGCCAGGGCCTCCCCACCCTCACAGAGAAGAATTTTCCCCAAAATCCCCTCTCACTCTCTTCTCTTCATCACAGAACTTGAAAAGATGTTTTATAATGGAAAATTTTAAACCAGGAATGAGACAAGTCCTTTTTTTAACACCATTAAGATTTTGGAGGATGGACAAATCAATTTTGCTCCCACCCCTTTTCTGTCCCTCTTGCATCCCAGTGCCTCCAGTAGGGTTTGCCTGTTGATCACAGTTATTTAGCAAATCACAAATGACAGCAATGTGACCTCTAGGGGCTGATATCCCTGCCAGCCCAGAAAAGCAGGATCTGAGCTTTTGATTTTTTATATTTCAATAAGCCACTGCAGTGGTTTAGCTACAAAAAGGATTTTAATACAAGCAGACCAAACCATCCATGTTTCATACCCAGTTTTCTAAAACTGCAAACTTTTGCAAGACAGAATTATTTTAATGATTATATTAAAAAGCTCTTCTCTAGGGAAGCATCTCTCTCTCTCCTACAGATGTGCTAAATAAGCAACATTTCCTCACATTTGTAAGCAATTCCAGTGAAAGTTCTTTAAAACATGATCTGTTGGCATTCTGGCTGTAAAACTGGGCTGTGATCTGCATTATTTTTTGTGTCTTCTCCTCTTTTATAGATGTAGAATCACTGAACTATTTCTACCAGGGCTATGGGAAATTATTTGGTATCGCTGCCCAAGCTAATCATTATTCACATATAAACTGCCCATTTACTGTTTCTCATATCCAATTTTTGAAGAAAATATTGATGATGACGCCCGAAATAACTTGGCAAGGCTTTGAAGAAGCTCTGAAAATCTATTACAGAGATGAATTGCAAAAGTGAGGTGCACTCACTAACCATGCCAAGGGAATGCCAATAGATAAAGTTCAGCTGAGGATTTCTCAGTTTGAATCTTTCTAGGAAGTTTGTGCATGTTATTGTAAGCAAATTCCTGATTCCTGGTTTTTCTCACTGTGGAATGGAAAGAAACTGAGGTGCTGGAGTTGTGAAAATGGAAGGAAAAGTTTACTAACCCCATCAAACAACAGAATTCTCTGCTGACTTTAGGCAAAAGCTGCCCTAAACCAGCCAGGAGCTTCTTTGAGACCGGTATTAACAGCAAATCATGGAAAGACAGCAAAAGTCTTGCAGTGGCTGTGAAAAGCAGCACTGAGGAATTCCGGATATCAGGAAAGAACAGCAGGGCTGTGAGCCTGAGCAGCAGAAGGAAGGATGCAAGGTGACTTCAGGCTCACATCTGTATAACCCTGGGCATTTCACATGTGTCATCATGGATCAGGCGAGGAGAAGCAAAGCAAAAACCCTGCATGCCCAGGAAAAATCCTTCTGTTTGGGATCTGTGCTGCCACGGTGATTTCAGGCTGATGGAGACATCTCCTGACAGGCACACCTGGAAAAAGGCAGTGCTGGAAAAAGGACCTGACCCTGCTGGCAAAGCCCTATCAGCTCTGGAGATCCCTGCACTTATCTGGCTTCCTGCTTGTCTCAAGTGTAGCTGGGTGTGAATTCTATTTCCCACCTGTCAGGGCTGGGGCAGTTCTCTTCATGGGGCACTTTTCTTCATCTCTCCCACAGCCAATCCTCCCTCCAGGAGATCTATGCTGTTCATGGGCCATTAATTATTAATTATCTTCTGTTCATGGCCACTGAGTGTCCCTGCATGGCTGAGAAAATTCCATCATCCCATGGGGAGATGCTGTGCCCAGGGGAGGAGCCGAGCATTCCTACCTGGATACAATCTGACCTGGGAACAGCACAGCAGCCTTTGCCCACTGCATTCCCAGAGGAGCAGCTTTCTTCCCACTGCATTCCCAGAGGAGCAGCTTTCTTCCCACTGCATTCCCAGAGGAGCAGCTTTCTTCCCCCTGCATTCCCAGAGGAGCCCAGGCCCATCTCCCCCAGCCCTGGAGCTCCAGAGGAAAACTCCCCCCTTGTGCAGGATCCTGCTCCAGCAGAAGCACAGCTGGCACTGCAGGAGGGCTGAGCCCCCCTGGGATGGGACTGCTGCCACCTCCCTGACCCACAGGCTGCCAGGGCTGCTCTGACTCTGACAGTGCTGTTTTGTATTACTGCATTTTTATTTGAATTTTATTTTTCCTAATGAAGAGCTATTATTCCTATTCCTGTATCTTTGCCTGAGACCCTTTTAATTTCAAAATTATAATAATTCAGAGGGAGGGGGTTTACATTTTCTATTTCAGGGGAGGCTCCTGCCTTCCTTAGCAGACACCTGGCTTTTCAAACCAAGTCGCTGCTCTTCACACCCATCCTCCACTGAAAACCTTCAGGAAAAGGCTTTTCATTGCCAGGCTCCTCTGAGGCTTGGGCATAAAACACCTTTTCCGGCACGATGGGGAAGCTTTTGAGTCAAAGGGACGGATGGTCCCGGGAAGAGGTGGAATTTTCAGTGTGGAATGTCTGCAAGGCTGTGCTTGTAACCTGCCTCACCCTGTGATCAGCCAGGAACTCCCCTGCTGCTTCACTACAAGATCTGCGCACAAACAAGACTTGTGTGCTCTCTTTTCTACAGTTTGGAGGAAAAAAACCTAAAACCATTTCTATTTTTAAAACCTGAAAATGCCTCAATGCATTAACAGTCTTCTGTACAAAAGCAAAGTCTGTTTAAAGATTCAGAAAAACAAAGGATTAGACAAAGGTAATGTTGTTGTGATATCTTTGGCTATGAAATAGCAGCTAAATGGTTATATTGTTATAATTTCTTAAGCCATTTTACCATATCTATAACTTAATTTCCCTTGTACAGACACAGCAAAAGCTTCTGTTTTCCTTCTCCTGGTATTTTCTTTTCTGTTTTTAGGGCTTTGCCATTAAAGCTGCTTTAATCTTTGTAGATAAATCTTCAGGTTTTCAGGTTTTTTTTCTGTCTAAAGACTTCAGCTGTCTTAAGTCTTTACATTTCATCGTGTTTAAATATTTTAGATAATTTGAAGCCCTAATTATAAATGGATATCATTAAGATTAGGCTCTAATAAGTGCTAATCTTTCCCTCCACCCAGGGAGATAAAGCCTGTCTTAAACCTGAATGGCTTAAAACGAGTTCATTTTTTTTTATCCTCATAAAGTGAAAAAATAAAACACTACCTAGCAGCTGTATTCACTGGAAATAATCCTCCCATTTATTACTGCAAAGTGCTTTTCCTTGGAGGTATCAGCCTGCTTTACCTTCAGATGTGCACGCTGCAGGTCACAGAGCCCGAAACGTGGTCATGAAACCTGAAAATCACCTTGCCTCACAGAAAACTCCCAACTTGGCTCCAATTTTGGATACTTTTGGTCGAGTTTTGGGTCAAGCAGGGCCAATAAAGGCACTGTGAGTTTTTAGCTCAGGGCACAAATGAATGGCCTGGTCTGCACTGCACACCTCAAGGTGAGCACTTCTCTTTTCATCAGGGAAATTCTGATGTTCGGAGGTGTTGAGTTCATTTCTGCCTTTGTTTGGCTTGAGCCCAAGGTTTGTGATCAAACCAGGAGCTCTGACTGAGCAAGGAAATTTTTTTTTTTTTATGGAAAATGACTGAACATGGCAATTTCATGTGTTGCTCAGGGAAGTGTGAAGGAAAATTTTGGCAGTAAATCAAACCCTGCTTGGATTTTGCTCCCCAATGGACTTAATTAGCCCTCTCCTATCAACCAAAAGGGATGAAGCTGTCCAGGGTTTCACTGAATTTAAGTAGTTTTAATACTCCAAACCATCTTAAATGGGATCTGATGTGATGAAAGGTAAAACATCTTCATCTGATTGGTAGCTGTCATTCCAAATGTGCCTCTGCAGCCAAAAACAGGGGAGGAAGAGTGAAAACAATATTCTTGCCGTATGGACAAAATGTAGCAAATAATTCACAACTAATAAGTAACACAATCTCTTCCTGGGGACTAAAAAGACCCTGCTTTTATTGAACATGTATTTATTGAAAGTCATCAGGTAAGTAAAATGATGTTACTGCTATTTCTTGCCTGGTCATAAGAACAGGCAGTTCCAGAGCAAATTGAAAGTTCATTTCCTGCAGGTCCTGGTTTATAAGATTCTAAAACTGGTCTTTGGTAAATGGTCATGAAAGTGGAATTTGAACTGCATGAAAGTTTGTGAAAAGTGATCAAAGACAGCTTGGAAAAAAATTAAATTATATTTCCTGATCATTCTTCATTTCCAGTATTAATCTAACTCATAGCCCTGCAAGCTCAGAAATTTCGATCTGGAGACTCACCTAAAGCCTGAAAGAAATGTGAGGGATTGCAAATCAAAGTAGGAATGTGGCTTGGTACAAGCCCCTAAAAGCCACTCTTGGTCAGTCCCTCAGTCACCTCTGTGCTCAGGAGTTCTTTCTAACAGTGGCTGTCAATACTGAGCTTCAGAAAGAGTTAAAAATATTTTAATATGGATGAAAAGCCCCACAAAGTTAATAAATGTGGTTCATTTTTGTCAGGAGCAGTATGAGAACAAAGGAAGAGAAGGTTTATAACTTATAGTACAACTCCACCAGATGGATCTGAGTTGAATTTCAGTTTTTATTTTCTTTATAAACTTTGTGTTTACTTCCAACAAAAGTGACTCTGGGAGAAATCAGGCAAGCACTGATTTCTTTGTGTGATCTACATTTGTGAAAGCTGGTTGCAAAAATAGGGAATTATGTTTATGAGAAGCTGATCTTGGTAAATGAAACACAAAATACAACTGGGCATTGGAGGAGACACATAAAATGTCTGGAAGTTAAATAATCTAATTATAAATAGGATTATGTAGAGAATGCCAGCATCAAACCCTGCATTACTTCATCTCCCATGCTTGTAAATCTAAACCTCAACTAAACAGGCTCTTGATGCTCTTCCAGTTGAAGTCCTTGAACCAAAGCTCCCAAAATCAGTATGAATCATTTGAGTGCCAATTTTTCTGCAGGAAATTATCTTACATCTAAAACCTCATTTTTCCTAGCGGAAATGTCATAATTAAAAGTAGTCTTGAGTATTGTAACATAATTTATGTAGAATAGTGTATTCTGCTTTCTTTGAAAAGAATAGATAAGTATCCCTTTTACAATGGGATGCATTTCAGTAAGGCATTATTATGGAATATGAAAAACTGTATTCATCTGGCTACTAAGAATATGATTTTCCTACAGGGAAGAACATGTTATAATGCTACAAAAGAATACTCCAGTCAAGGTCCAGAATACAAAATATTTTCAGGTTGATTACACATTATGCAAACTACTTGAGTTCCTTCTCAAGATCAAAAAAATCCATAAATCCATATGTGTTTCCACAGGCTCTCCACTCAAATTGCCTGTCAGAGTAAAAAATCTTGAAAACTGTGCTGTAACCAGGATGATGAAGGAAAATTTCTGCCAGACAGACTATATAGTGAAGAAAAACGGGTGTAAGTTATCGTGTGCCTCCTAGCCTGAATACATATGGGGACAAATGCAAATTTGCCAAATGAAATACAGCTTAAGAGTGCATAAATTTCAAAGAGATAACACTTTGTCCTTATTAAATCCTGGCTTGGATCATGGAGTGCTTTTTCCTGAAACTTCAGCTTTTCTGTGGAGGCTGTTTATCCCCTAAAGGAGCATCAATTATAAATAACGGTCAAGCCACCAAAATTGGAAGGACAAGACTCGAAGCAAATAAACTGCAACAATATAACCGATAAAAACTCGAATATTGGCATGCACTCCAGGTATCCTTTGAGGGAGAGGCATGGGAATTATCATTTATTGGCAGAGACACAAATACGTGGTGTGGAAGAGCCCAGGAGTGATGCATGGATCTACAACTGCACAGATCTACGGGGTGGGCATAAATCGAGCTTTTGTGAAAAATTAAACATCAAAAGGATGTTTGGCTCAGTGAGTCCTGAGCACTAACTAAAGGTTAGTGTGGATAATGGGATAACTTGTAAAAAAAATGGGATAAAGTTAGGTTAGTGTGGATAATGGGATAACTTGTTAAAAAAGCCATTTGAAGCCTCCTTGCGCTCAGCGAGGTTGATTTAGACTTTAGCTGCTTAAAGCATGGCACTAAATGAGCGGGAAGAGCAGATTGCTTCCTCCAGAGTGGCGAATAAATAACACCTTAAAGCGAAACCATAGGAAAGCGTGCGTTCAATGACAAACAGGGGGATGCTTTGAGAAGCTCGGCAGTAAAGGTTGGCATGAGATGGGAGGGGGCTCATTAAAAGGAGGGAGAGGGACTTTTTAGAAGGGCCTGGAGTGACAAGGGACAGTGGTTTTAAACTGGTGGAGGGCAGGTTTAGATAGGGAGGGAGCTGTGCCCTGTGAGGGCGGCGAGGCGCCGGCACAGCGCGCCCACAGCAGCCGCGCCTGCCCCATCCCTGCAAGCGCCCAAGGCCAGGCAGGGGGGGCTGCCAGCAACCAGCGGAGCTAAGCCCGCCATGGCAGGAGTGGCACTGGATAATCTTTAATGTCCCTTCCAACCCAGCCTGATCCGCCGTTCTTTGCAAGATGAAGCTCTGCCCTCAGCCGAGCTCCGCGCTCCCGGCACGGAATCGTCTCTCCCCTTGTCCCCCCCCCACGGCGGCGCCCAATGGCCGCTCCCGCGCTGCCATGGCAACGGCGCCGCGCTCGGGGCCCGAGGGGCGGCGGGGCCGGGAGCCCCCAGGGACCGGGACCGGGACCCGGACCGGGACCGGGATCGGTACAGCCACAGGGACCGGGACCGGGACCGGGACCGAGACCCGGACCGGGATCGGTACAGCCACAGGGACCGGGACCGGGACCGGGACCGAGACCCGGACCGGGATCGGTACAGCCACAGGGACCGGGACCGGGACCGGTACAGCCACAGGGACCGGGACCGGGACCCGGACCGGGATCGGTACAGCCACAGGGACCGGGACCGGGACCCGGACCGGGATCGGTACAGCCACAGGGACCGGGACCGACCCGGCCACAGGGACCCGGGTCGGGACCGCCACAGGGACCGGGACCGACACAGCCACAGGGACCGGGACCGGGACCGGGGCCCGGACCGGGATCGGTGCAGCCACAGGGACCCGAACCGGGACCGGGACCTCCACAGGGACCCGAACCGGGACCGGGAGCCCCCGCCCGGCAGGCGCGGCCCTGCGCCCAGCCCGTGCCCAGGGAGGCTCAGGGTGCCCGGGGCACGCCTGGGCTGTATCAATGTCCCCGCAGAGTTTTCACCAGGCTTGAAAAGACAACAATAATAAATAAAACAAAATAAAATAAAATAAAAATAAACAACCCCACGCTTTACTGCGGGGCTTTTTACACCTTTATTCCCTGTCTGCCCTTTCCCCAGAGCGCCCATCGGGACGAGTGCAACCCGCAAACCCATCCCACATCGGGCCTTGAGAGGAGCTGTAAAGGCAAGTCTTGACTCTGCTGCCATTATCCACCTGTTGTTTATCGCCCCACCTGCTATTTATCACCTTCTCTGTTATTTACCACCTTATTTCTTATTTATCACCCCGCCTGGTTTTATTTCCCCCCTGCTTGGGGCAGAGATGCTGCAGCTCGCAGGGCAGTGACTGTATCTCTATAGTGTGGGTAAGAAGGTTTTTCTCTTGAGAAGTGTAGTTTTTGTTTTCTTTTTTGTTTGTTTGTTTGTTTCATTTTGTTTGCTTTGGTTTTGTTGGGTTTTTTTGGTTTTTTTTTTAAGTAGACTGTGTGGAAATGCTTACACCCTCCTCTCATGGCCTTTGTGTTTGAAGTTACAATACAGCTGAAATGACACTTTTTGGTTGAACAGTTGTAGTGGTTGACTATGTTTGGTTTTTTTCCCCTTAACTGCTGTATTTTTTTCCCTTAACTAAAAACCAAGCTGCTTCAGACCACCACAACAGTGAAAATATGCAAAGCATAGAAAAAAGTGCTTTATTTGCAGAGTTACTAAGATAATGCACCTTTCCAAAGTGTGGTGAAACTGCGAAATATTGAAAATTGCAAAAAGGACTTAAGGAAATTGTAATTTAGCAAGTTTCATGTTGTTTTCCTAATCTGTCTTTATGTGTGTTGCAGAGTGTTACACATAGAAATGGGTAATTGGTTTAAAAATCGAAAATGGAGTTTGAAATGGTTGGTGTCACAGGTGTTGGGGCATGGAGAATATGAATTTATTCTGAAAGGCTGGAATTATTTGAGCATACCTGAATTAAAGTTTATGTTTAATTATTTTCTTTCTTATATTTTTAATGTCATTCTTTTTCCTCATTCTTTGAAGTAGTTAGCATAATATTAAGTGCTTGGAAGGGCCAGAAGTCTCAGTTGTTGTAGTTAACAGCAAATGGGTGAGGAGTGATGATAGACAAACTCTTTATTGCACTTGGAATAATTCTTCAAAGGAAATAATTTGGTTTGAAGTATTGGTAAGTGGATGGAACTTAGTGCAGCATGAAATCCACATTCATGGTGTTGATAATGGGATGTGAGCTGTTGCATGGACAGTAGCATCCCTTTGGATTTGATGGGTTTATTGATGTGAGCAAACTGTTGGAATTTGCCCTGGTTAAACTCTTGTACTGTGAAATAAACCCATCTTCAGCTGTCTCTAAGTTATAAATCCATCTTTAAATTGATTAGGAAGAGACTTGAGCTAAGCTGGGGTACAGGCTATGTGGAATTTGGGTTTATTTAGCTATGTAGTCTTTCAAGTTGACTCAAATTTTGTTTAGCCTGAGCAGCAGTTTTTGCTTTGTTACTTTTAACTGTACATCCATTATCAGCACAGAGAAACCTGCTGGAATGATGAAATTTGAGTACCAGTGTGGCAGAGGAGCTGGCAGAAACGATGTGGCTAATTAGTGCCTGATTTATTTATGTTGATGAGTTGCTGTAGTGTTTGCCTCGCTGGCAAATTGTGTTGCCTACTAGAGAGAGAAGAAGGATTCATTAAACAAAAAGCAGACAGAAAGAGGGAACTCCTCTGTGTATTTAAATTCCAAGGCTGTTTCTGAGGAGTTTGGGATTGCCTTTGCTGCACTTCCCTTGCAGCCCTGAGGGCCCAGCTCAGGAATATTTCAGGGTGTGCATTTCCCCACGGGGTTTGTTTAATTTTGACTCTTCCAGTCTCAGTTTAACAGTTGTTTTTGTTTTTGTCCCACACAGGATTATGCTGTTCAATGAATTCCTGTATTTTCTCAGAATAATTCAGGGGGTTGATAACTGTCTATCTCTATCCCCTGTTTCTACAGTTTGATGCTGTTTTTCCCCAACTAGTGTTCCTGAAACTTTGCAGGGCTTTTTATCGCTAATATTCTCACACAGCATCGCTGATATTTATCTCTGATATTACCACATTTTTAAGTTATCCCTTTAAATATTTGCTTTCAGTGGAATATGTTAAAGTTAACTTGTATAAATGGTATTTTTTTATTAACTACTTTCTCTCCTTGAGCTTGCTCAGCTGAACTGTGTCATTTACCTCTATTTTTACTATTAAATAAGCTTTGGACCCCTCAAATCCAGTGTGTGACCTCCTCCTGTCCGGCTTTGCTGTTCCTACCAGCTCACATTAGCCAAAAGGAAAACTTTCTTCTATTCAAAATTAATAAAATCTTCTTTTATCTTGGAAAATGATAAAGGGATAACTGCTTTGAAATGATGTTAGAATTGAGTGCTTGGATTTCCTGACACAATAAAATGTATGTTTTGTGCACAAATCTGATGCTTTGTCAGCACTGAAATATTTCATTTTAGGTTCTGTGGCAGAAGTGTTTTAACTTCCACATACCATTGGGGTGGAGATATTTGGGCACATTTTATCTGTATTAATTCTCAATTTCAAGTTTACCTGTGAACAGGCACTTTTCCATCTGGGATATTTCCAATCCTTATTTCCCTGGGGAGAGCAGGACCTGGAAGCTGAGATCCCCAAGCTGCAGAAGAGTTTCTAAGCACCCTGGCAGCTGTAAGTCTGTGCACTGTCAACTTTTGAATTTTGTTTTCTTCAATTATTCCATTCTTTTCGCATTATTTCCAGCAGCAGCAGGAAATGCCCAGTTTTGCACTGAGCTGCAGTTATCCCACAAACATTCCAGCCCAGCAAGGCTCTGGATGTTCACCTTCAATTTAAACCCCCTGCTGTATGAATTTGCTTTTTGTAAGAGTATTTTATTTTACAACCTGGATTAGGAAAAAAAAAAAAAATTGAAATACCACTGAAGTCTTGAGAGGAGGGATTAACTCTGTGAGTTATTGTGTTCCTTTGTATCAATTTGTCTGTGACAGAAGGAATTTATCTTCCCAAATCAAGTGAGATGGTTTGACTTCGTAGCCATCGGTACAATTTTCTCCTTCTTGGTGCTTTCTATGGGTTTGGTTCAAGAAAGCTGTGTTTTAGTTAATATTAATCTCCTTGCACATGAACTTTAGGGAATTGCCCAAATGAAACAGCCAAGGAAATCTTCTCCCTGGTATCATAAATGTAATAAAAAAGGATTTTTTTTCCCCAGTTAAATTTAATTTTGAGTTGCTCTAGGATTTTATTGGCACTTCATATAAACAAGTTTTGTGCTCCATTTCTCTCTATATATGAATATTTTTGGATGTGTAATGAGTTTTTTACTGTTTTATTTCAATCAAATTCCCATTTCAACAGGTTTTTAACTCTAAATCATTGAAATTCTCTTTTTTTAGGAGAAGTTATACTAGGCATCATGAATGTCAATGATTTTGTAATTCTCCCAGGCTCAAAAACTGGAACCTCAGTGAGATTAAAAACAAAGTAAGTGCATTCATTCTGATTGGGATTGAGATGTGTTTTCATAATTTTTAATAAGTTTTAATGCAACATTAACTAGAAGAGTGGAAGAACAAAAAGAATCATGATGTGTTTCTTTTGTAGCATTTTCCCTACGCTTTTATCCATGAGCCTTTTTTTTCTCAGGCTTTAATCTACTTCCTGATTAAGTTATAGGTTTTATAACCCTGTGTATCCACTGGATAATACAAGCATAGTAAAGAAATCAGTGGATTGTTTATTTTAATATAATTGAACCCCAAACCTTTCTGAGTACAGACACAGCTGTATCAATTTTTTGGTTGGAATTTGCACTTGACTTGTCCTAAATTTCCCAGAGCTGTTTTAAATCCTGCTGAGAGAATAAAGAAGGGTCATGGCTGTAATGAGAAATGTTCCAGCTTCTGTTTTTCTGCTTAAACTTCTTCAGGCACCTTACTGACTTCCAGGTGACTTCTAACAAATATCTCACTGTTTCCTCCAGAACTGTCAAGGAATTGCAGTTGGAGAAAGCTCAGTTAGAAACAGAAAACAGAGAGATGGAGAGAAGATTATTGCAGCTGCAGTCAAACATGAGCAGAGAAAAAGAAGAGAGGAGGTAGGTTCAGTTTCTCTTTGGAAAAAAGGAATCCAATGAGATGTTCCTTCCACACCTCCAACTCCCCACATGGGATCTCTTGTAAAGTTTGGAATTCACAATTATATTCAGTCTCCTCTCTCCAATCTGTCTTCCCAATGTTCAACTTGCTTCCCTTTGACTTTGTTAATATGAAACTCATATGATATTTGATCTGTTTTCCTCATATATTCCCTCTTCCTTTTCCCCCTGATTGGATTTGTCACCTTAATTTTCAAGCAGGAGACAGAGTAGTTTCTCCTGCACTCTTGGTTATTCCTGATGTTTCTGCAGAGGATGCTGTTGTTAATTTTGATCCCCTTTTACCTTTGTGTGGCCCCCCAGGGAGGCCTTTCCTGCATGATGGCAAACAGGGCTTGGAACCAGGCACAGTGCAAAGAGGCAAATGCGGGGCTGCAGTTTAAATCTGAATGTTGGCAAATTCCTGCAACATGTGCTTCCTTTTCCTTGAGTTTCTGCCTGCAGAATGTTGGATTTGGATCCCTTGGTGCTGCTGAGCTGTTGGCAGCTCTGTGAGCCTGCCCTGAGCTGCTGGGGCAGTGTTTTCCAGGTGATGTGTGGCACTTTTGTCCCTGTGCTGTTCTGTTGTTTTCTTCTCAAGGCCCTGTACCTGCAGCCCCTGATAGGGGCTGTGCTGAGCTCTGAGGACAGAAGGCTTTTGGCGTTTGCACCACTGCAATCATGGAGTGGTTTGGGCTGGAAAGGATCTGAGAGTTCCTGTATTTTTAGCAGTGCTGGATGAAGTCCTGCAGTAAACTCAGACAATGAAGGCTCACACAAAATGTACTTTTGTTTTTATTCTTCTGAAACCGACCTTTGAGAATTGATAAGATTTTTTTTTTAAGTTTAAAAACTTGGACCAATTTAATGGTTTAAAAATAAGTACATTCTCACACATTTGTGGTATTTACTGCTTTTAAAGTGGATTTGAAGCAGATTTCAATGGAAGGGAGTATTTGTGCTTTGAGGAATTGATTGTCCTATACACGAGAATTTTATTTTTGTGATGTTTTGTTCATATTTAACAAGCTGAAGGAAAAATTTTATGCTTATCTTGCTCACCAGAAGCTGAATTCTGAAGTTTTTTCTTGCCTTGCTTTGTAGGAAGTTAGGTGCTTACCGTTGGAAATCCGGGCAGGCAGGACCAAGGACCCCCCAAACCCAAGCTGTGACACAAAATAATGAAAACAGGAAGAAGGTAGGAAACCATGTTTGCTATTTAAAGTAAAACAAGATTTAGAACTGGATTTATGTTGCAGAACAGGAAAATTTCAAATACTATAAAACCAAAACATTAAGCCTCATCTGAGTAAAATTCCTGACTGCTTATTTTTTCCTTGCCAAGCTTCTGAGTCCCTTTGAGCTGGAGGGATACCAAGTTTTGTTGGGTGATCTGTTGGGGTTTCAGTTGCAATAAACAGCAGATTATCCCTTCTCATACAGATTTAATCCTGTAGGAGTGGCACTGGTAGTGGTGGAAGTCATCAGGAGCCATGGGCTGGTGCCCATGATGGATCTGAAATACTGAAAGGCTTTGGGTGAAACTTTGAGTGCAAATTCTATCTTCCCAGATAAAATACACCACAGTTAGTATTTTCTTTAACTCAGTTATATTGACTCTTGTTCTATGACATCCTTGCTCAGGCCTAAAAGAAGGGATGTAGAACTTTCCTGCTAAATCTTTGAAAAAATCTGTTTTCTTTTCAGTATATACAAATGGGGTACTTATCTTCCTTTGAAAAAGTCTGTAGCATTTTTTTTTTTAACTGGCAGAAAATGAGAACTCAATAAAATTGCCTTCTTGTCTGTGAGAGGAGAGGATCAGAATGAAAAGGTTTTCTTTCCCCACCTCTTTCCCTTCCCCTTCTCTCAGACAAGGAACTCGGAGCTGTTGCTGCTTCAAAGACTTGAGGTTTCAGCTGGGGTGGCTGAGGAGATGATTGGGGCAAAATTTTTAAAATGGCATATTAAGGGGTGAGTGAGGGGCAGTGAGGCTGCAGGGTGAACTCTTCAGGAGAAAACTGAGGAGCAAAAATGCTGAAAATTATGAATTACTGAGCTGTTAGATCGTGGAAGGGTCACGTGGGGGATGTTTCATGTCTGGGGAGTGAAACTGGTCCTGGGCTTCATGGCTGTCATGAGCACTACATGGAGTTTCCTCTTTAAATGCATGCCCTGCTATTTCCCTAAAAGCATTTTCATTCTGTACAAACTACTCATTACCACTAGAACCTTATTCAGATATATGTAAATATTTTTTCCTCTAGCTTTCTCCAGAAAAAGTGAAGTTGCAAGTACTCAAGAAACCGATTCAAGGTAAAGACATCTTTCTTAACCAAATAAAACTTAAACTTCTGATAGATTATTGCTTTTTAGAGGTTGCTGCAATTAAACAGTGAAGAATTCAAAGAGTGGAACACTGGATTAGTTGAGATTTTATTTGTTTTGTTTCAGAGCCAGTGAAAAAAACAGTTAAACCTGAAAAAGGAAATGTAGCTCATGAAAAACTGGGAGTAAAGGGGATAGCCTGTAGGCCACCTGAAATTGAGGGTGGGCTGATGGTAAGTAAATGGTTTAAAAATAACTCTCAATTTAATGTGTGTGGAATTTTTTTAGGTCAGTATGTAGACACACATCTTTCTTGCTTGCTCTGATAATTACTTAGTGCCCGTAAAGTAAAGAGAAATTTTACAGACTGATCTCCCTGGATGCAAGGAAACAGATTAAATTATTTTTTTACCAGAACTTTAACTGGTAACAGTTAAAGAATTTTTTTAAACTGTATTTTCTTAACTTGCCCAGTATGTGGCCATGGCTGAAGGAGGCTGATCTCATCCTTAACTAGAGAACACTTCTCTGTTATTAAAGTAAGATGTGTGGTTGATTGCAAAGGGGCCAAAATTAAGTGGTCCATGAATGTTTTGTAATTTTAAATCCTTACATAAAGCCCAGGGCACGTGTTGAATTATGACTAATTTCCAAGCTGGCACCTTGTTGGCTGTGTTAGAGTGGAAATTTCTAATATTAAAGTATGAGGTGATTTCTATTTAATAAGGGTATTTTTGCCTTTTAGCAAGTAGGAAATAAGAAACAAATAATAAATAGGAAACCCAGCCTCCAAAGTGTGGTGTAGCTTCGTGCGACTCGATTTTCAAGTAATTTATGTGAATAGGGAAGTTCCACTGTTGAATAAGAAAAAAACATTTTTATTTTGAAAGGAGTGATCTCTCTTAGAGAGATCCCCCTCCCCACCCTGTAGGTGTAGATGATGTGCTTTATTTCCATTGTTTTATTAAACCTTTTGGAGCTGCTAGCCCTTAAAAAGAACTGATATTTTGTGCGTATCTTTGTAATGCTTTTCCTTTGGGGAAAAAATACGCGCGGATTTGGCATTTAAGATAACTTGTCTGGGATTTTTCTTCCGTGCTCCCAATTCCATTAACACTCACGGAACAAAGAACTGCACTCCCAACGGGGCAGATCGCGCGTATTTTGCTTTTTCCAGCGGTTTTTTAGGGAGCGATCCCGGGATGTCCCGGGCGGGGGCGGCTGCAGTACCGGGGATCGCCGCCGGAGGGCGCCGCGCCCCCGCGGGACGCCGCGGCCGCTGCGCATCCCGGAGCGCTCCCGCATCCCGGGGGATCCCGGAGCGAAACGCGCCTGGAATTCCGTGCTTGTCGGAACTCAAAATGTCCCTCAGACATTTTCAGAGCTTCCAGGCCTTGGTCAAAAGCATTTTAGACCCTGGCAAGCAGCTGAAAACAGCTGTGATCTTGAGTTTGAACCATGGAATGAATTACCAACTTTGAAGGTGGAACAAGCAGTCACAGAGAGTTAGATGGTATAGTAAAAGTAGTCACAAATTAGAGGGAAAAATTTTTTAGTATTGTACAAGGGGGTTTTAGTACCTGTACAGGGGGGTTTTACTTTGTACATGGGGGTCAGGAGTTCTAAGATGGAGGAAAGTGGGCCTGATTTTGTTCTTCCTCCTTCTTCTTCCTTACCTCCATGTTCTTGGTGATGTTGGCATTTTTCTATTGGTTTAGGCTGGGGACACACTGTTCAACGTAGATGATGGATGTTGGCACATTGTTGTAAATATAGTACACGTAGTTTCTGGTATATAGTGTTTGTGCCATCCCACTGAGGGCAGAGCCCCACACGCTGCCCTGCAGGACAGAGCTGCGGCAGGGCAGCAGAACATGTTAGAGATAAACAGAATAAACAACCTTGAAACCAGCACAGACAAATTATGGCTTCTTCTTTGGCAACGGGGCAGAAAGACAGAGACTTTCTACAATCTCCGAATCACCAATACCCACAGATTCCGACACGTGCTGCTGCGGCGAATTCCACTGCCCGCCGCTCGAGTTCTTCCCCGCTGATCCCTGATCACACGGGGAATTTTGTGCCGTGCTCACCCTGCGTGGCAGTGGGAAGATCGGGGGGACACCGGCACCTTTAACAGGCACCGTTTATTGCTTGTGCAACCAGTCCCTGAATCACTTAAAGCAGCATATGGCAGGTGAAAGAAGAGCTTAGGAACCTGATTTTAAATATCCTGATTGTGTAGGGGCTGCTGATGTTTGACTCTCATCTTTCTGCCTGTACCTCTGCTGCTTTGTTGTAGTAAAAGCAGGTCCCTCACTTGGAGAATGTGTAGACAAAGGATCTTTCCCATAAATACATAAATTAATTCGTGGTTTTGTTTGATAATCATCCAAAAGTTGGTAATGAAAACCTTTCACAGTAATTTTCGTTGCTCTAATAAACATTGAAAAATCACTAAAGTCCGAGTATAGGACTGTTTTTTCTCCTTTTGTAGCTGTTTTTAATCAAGCTCAACAATTACAGTTTGGACTTCCCTGGACTGCTGTATTAATGGCTACCCCAGTTAGCCCCTTAAATGACCATTTTCCTCTTGCTGACCTCTCCAGATGTGCCCCTGTCCACTGGGAAGCTTCAATAAGCAGCTCTTCATTGGTAAAGCACATAGCTCATAAATTCCTTTAAATGAGACATGCTGCATTAAATGCCTCATTTAATCCCCCATGTACATGAGATGTGGTGTCCATGGCTTTATATCCAAAATTTGGGATGTGGGTGTCCATGACCACTGCTCTCTGATACCAAAAAACCTTTAAAAGTAGGGGATTTGTGTGTCTGGTAATAAAAACTTTGTTATTTAGCTCTTGATAGATCTTTGCAGTTAATTGTGAGCGACATCACATAAAATGGGAGTGATCTTGATCACCAGGTAGCTCAGGTGAGCCCAGAAAAGTGAGTGCTGCAGTTCCACAGCTGACACTAAAAATGTTGCTGCTCCTCAGAAATGCTCTGTCAGTAATGTTGTGGAACTGATTTAGGAACCAGCCTCGGCATCAGCCTGTGCAAGCCCTGGGAATCAGGACAAAGGATTGCTGCTGAGTGGTGCCTTTGATGAGAAGGCATCTGCAAAGTCTTTTCAGGAAGCTTTGCTTCAGTGGAGAAAAGGTGGAAGTGATCCTGGAGGAGATCTGTGTGCCAGTGAGGTCCCATCAGGTATGGTTTGTTCTGTTTTAATGACATTTTAAATACAATAGGAGCCATTTGGGGAAGTTAGATTTTAGATTAATGAAGGCAGATATTATGTGAAGCTGAGAAAACCCATTTTATTCTTTCTCAGTGTGCCTTTATTAATAACAATCATCTCTGAAGGCTTATTTTAATGATATGCAGAGTGTTTAGCTCAGTTTTTGTCATGATCTGTGGCAGTAGCCAGGATGTCCAGCCCATGTCCCTGTACCTTCCTGTGGCTTTGTGTCTCACGTGGCACTTCAGCATGAGCTGCAATGCTCAAACATAAAACCAGTTTTAAACTGAGGCAAGGAATGTGCAGGGCTCAGGATTTTGTGTGTTCTATCCAAGTACATTTTCTGCTTGTCTTCCACAGGCTCTTAATATTTCTTTGTCCCAATGAAAAGCTGCAATCAGATGAAGTATGCAGGGGAAAATATGGAAAATTCCTCTGGTCTGATTGGATTTGTGCAAATCCAATCTGTGTCTTTTTCCTCTAGTCCATGGATGGTGGTTTTTCTCTGTGGCTTTTTGTACAAAATAATATTAAACTGATTTTTTCCCCTTTCTTTTCTTCTTTTCTGTGGGATTTTGATCTGTGCTGTCATGGATTTCCATCCCCCCACTCTTTGTATGGCTCCAGTGTGTAATCTGTAATAAATGAGTTTTTATGGCTGCCCCTGTTACTGCCTGTATTCTGTAAATATAATATTGCTGACCATTTAAATTTTGGAGTTATGCAAAGACTGAACTAAGCACAGACCCAAATGTGATGTTCATTCAAGAATAATGTAGGTAAAGAGCACGTTTATAAGCCTAAACAACTGTATATTTTTTTAAATAATTCTGACAAGCTGTGGGGAGTTGTGAGGTACAGACCAATGTTACTGCTCTGAAGGAACCCATCCACGTGGAATTCCAGAAGGATGGCCTGAGCTACATGGAGAAACTCCTGCTGAAGAAATACAGAAGGTATTGCTGCATTTGCTGCTCCTAATGAAAGAATTCAGAAATACCTAATTAACAAAAATCCAGATGAAACTTAAAAAATATTGGATATATTATCAAGAATTAAGGGAAGTGTACACAGGGAGCTTTCTTTTAATAAAATAATAATTATAACCAGATTTTATCACTTGATGGTCAGAATTCCTGCAGGGGGAGTATTTAGAGGGATTCTCTTTGCTATCAGTTTAGTGTAGAATTTGAAGACTCGTAATATTGGGTTATTTGATTTTGGGGCATTTGCTACAAGGGTTTTATAGAGAAAAGGAATTTTCAGTATTCTTTTGTGGACATTGCAGAGTTGTTTTATGAGTTCTTGAGAAGCAAAGTCACCTCAATGAAGGTAGGAGGAGTTAGTTAATGCTGCTGCAGTAAATAGGCTGGTAGGGTTTTTCCTTTTTTTCCCCTTTTTGTGATATATTTAAAAAGTACAACTTTTTAAGATAGATTTTTATTTTTTTTCCCATTTCAGAACTCCAGTTGATCAATTTTTTGCAAGTTGCATGAAAGATTCAAGACCTGTGCAAGCCTTGAGTGTTCAACAAGCTGGGGCTGGAGGAGGGGAACAAGGAGATGATGATGATGATGACATTGAGGAGTTAACAGGTGTAACAGATTTGTTTATTCAGTCTAAAATACCATTTCCTTGATGTCTTTTCTTATTGCTGAGCATTTCCACTCCTAGCCAGTTTGCAAAGGGCAGCAATGATAAAAGGAGAAATTTGTGCTTTTTCATAATGAATAAAAAATGTTTCCATTTTGAGTCTGTTTTGAACTGGAAAAGTGAAATATGTGAAATTATTTATATTTCACAGATGAAGAGGTGAAGAAATATTGGGCATCTGTTTATAGAACTGAAGAATCCAACACTGTTTCTGAAAATGCAGAGTCCTCTTTGCAAATTGAGTTCCTTGATGATGTGAGTATTGATAAAGGACTTAATGAGTCTCAACAATGAACTGATTTGTTCAAGTCTTGATCTGTTAAATGTTTAAAATAGCAACAGTTAAATAAATTCCAATAAGGAAGAATACTGGTGCATTGTTTGTTTTCCATACAAATGTGGAAAATTTCTAATTCCAAAAGTTCCCTGTGCTTTTTTTTGTTGTGTTCAGGGACCTGCACTGTATGGGATTTATACACAAAGTCTGGCAGCTTTTCAGCACTTCGAAATTTTTTTGTTTATTTAAAAAAATTTAATCTGTTGCTGAGTGTGGCTCTTTTTGTTTTTTATTCATTCTCAGAGTGAGGAGTTGGAAGAATCTTCATACTCTTCTGTGGAGGAAACTGGAAATATGGGGATGAATAAGCAAGGAAAAACTGACCCACTGGAGTGTGGAAGGTATCAGAAGTGCAGAGATTGTGGGAAAGGAAATAATCCCAAATTTGGTATTAGTTCCTAAGAAATTGAGGTTTTGCTTTGCAGGCAGTTATGTTTGTGTTAAGTGTACACTGTTTTAAAGCCACTAAGGAGTATTAATTGTCTGTAACTAGAGAGGCATCACTTTGAAAACCTAACACATGGGCAAGATTAATTTCTTTGCATTTGAATTTTAGTGAAATTCTCTTTTCTGAGCTCTTACCTCAGCAGGAGCTCACATTCAGATTTTACCATTGATCAGTGCTGTGCACATTGAAGATACTCTTATTTAACCAACCTTGTGATTCCAGACAAAAACAATAACTGATACATCTGTAATTCTTCTGTTCTCCCAACATTTATTGGATTAACTGTGACCTGATTTGCTTTTTTGTATCCTTCTGGTCTTTTCCTCTCCTCTATCAAAGCTCAGCATTTGCAGACCAGACAACACAGAACCAGACTCTTAAAAAATAAATGGGTATAATGGGAAAGTCTTCTTTCCATTTAACTTCCTCAGCTGAAATGTAATAGTTTTTTCTTTTTCCTCTCAACAGAAATCCTGTTTCTCCTAAAGAAATTTCTCAAGGTAAATGTGAAAAGTTCTTTGTTGAAAATACATAAATGAGTTTAGTTTATCATTCTCATATGGGTTGGGGTAGTCAACTACAGTGGGTTGAGAAATAATTAAAGGTCATTAAATTATGTCCCATTCTCTGGGCTATCACAATTTGATTTGATTACAGTTTCATGGACTGGGATAAACATTTATAACAAAAGAAACCAACTTAGAGAATCATTCACAGCCTGGTAGGATGGATTTCAAACCTTATGATGCTTTTAAGGAAATTTTATTAAATTGCCACAATTGCCTTTCTTTAGCTTTAATGGCAACTTTGTATTTTAAGTTCATGAAGAAAACATAGTGGGCTTTGCAGGTTATAATTAATATTCATTATAAGTATTGCTATTTTCATGATTTTGTTGCACTCCTCTAGAAAAACCGGTTGTCTGCAGTGATCTGGAATTCAATGCAGTGCAGGAGGAGAGTGTGGAACCAGAGGTTGGGAGAAGATCCCTGAGCTCCTGTGAACTTCCTGAGCTCTCTGAGCCCAGTGGAGGAGTGAGCAAAGATCTCCCTGGGGCTGAACTGAAGAGCAGCAGAGATCTCCCGGAGTCAGAGGAGAGCAGGAGAGAGCCACAGGAGCTGGGCAGTGTCTGCAGCACTCAGAGCTTGGTTTTGCCTGTAGTGACAAAACCTTCAGCAGTAAGTTTTGATGTCTTTAATTGCCAAATGGATTAAGGATGTTGCTTTAGGTTTAGGGGATTTTCACTGCCTGCCATATTTGATATGTAGGGGATGAAAGGCTCCACGTTGTGGTGCCAGTTTTCTGTTAATGTTCAAAAAAAGGAAAAGAGAACAAACTGTCTCAGACATAAAACTCAGCTCAAAGAAGAGCTGCTCTCAGCTGTTGGAGCAGCTCTTCCCATATTTGTATTAACAGTACTTCACCTCTTGTCTGAATGACCAAAAAATGGTTCTCTGTTTTACCTAACAAATTATTCAGATCCTCATTTGCTGAAAAAAAAAATCAAAAGCAAAAAAAAATAATAGAAAAGGTTGGAACATTGCTTTGGAGATATTGTTAAACAGTGATCACTTTCCTTTGTGTACCCAAAACTGAGCACAAAGGAAATCTGCTTTTCATGTCCCTCGTGAATGAACAGATCCAAACTCTCACAAAATGAGAAGTTTTTAGGATTTTAAAACATATCTTGAGCAAAAACATCATCCTCATGAACATCTATTACAGCTGGCTATCAAAATCAGTCTGTGTTCTATGAAAAGAGCATTTTTTAAACCTTAACTTGCAGGGACAGTTTATAACGTTTCCTGTTTGTAATCTCTCTGTTTTATTCAAGTTACAGGATGTAGCCAAAAGACAGAAATGTGGTTCTACATCATATCAGGGACTTGAAGGTTTCTTTGTAGGTGCAAACCCTAAACAAGAAAAGCTGGAGGCACCTTCTTCCCTGGCTGCTGCCTCCAGCCCTAGGGACAGGAAAATCCCTTTTCCAGGTACTGTTGTGGAGTAAATCCTCGAAGTTATATGTATTTATCATCTTTTATCAGTTCCCTTCCATCCAGCTTGCTTTAAGAGTCACTTCAGGGTGACAGTCATGCCACACAAGTGGTGCTGGGCAAAGATAAAATAAACTCCCTACTTTGAGGCAATCTAGTACCATAAATTTGATCTTTCTCATTGTAATTAAACTGTATATGATTATATATAATAGATTATATTATAATATATTTATGTATTATACATCAATAGAATTATTCATATAAATATATCCCCTGAGAATGAAATTCCATTAGGTTCTTATTGCTTTTCATGGTGTATATGAGGCAACAAGTGAACATCATTAATTTGATTAAATACTTCACTTGAAATCAGGCTTTTAGTCTGTTATACATAACTGTTATATATCTGTATATAATTTATCTGTAAAAATTTTGTGGTGTGGCTTCTTTAATTCACACATTAAATGCAACAAAAATAGGAAGAATAAATGCATATTAACAGAAAAGCTGCAAATAATTTCCTCTAATAATATTGGATTTCAGGAGATGGGCTGTGGGTTTCTGAGAGGAGCCTAAGTGAATATGCTGATGACTCTGTAGTCCAAGGTGTCTTGGCAAGTCAGCTGAGCAGAGCTGCAAATCCTTTCCAGGCTCAAAATCAACTTTCTCATCTGATGGCAGCATCGATGCCATGTCCAGGTAGGGACAGCCACAGTTCTCAGCTCCTAATTGGGTTAATTTTTATTGTGTGAAATGGAGACATTTTGAATGTGGAATTTGTCATTTTTCTATCTTCATTTCTGTATTTGTATTTTGGCTTTTTTATTTTAGTAGTTTTCTTTGTGAATTTATGTTTTAGTGGCTTTTTTGAATAAGCTTTGGAGTCAAAAATTACCTCTTCTCAGCTATCACCAAGAATCCTTTTTATTTAGCTTAGTTTCTGCTGCTGCCCTTTACTCCTCTCTTAGCTTGATTATTTAGAGAATAAACCCTCTAGAAGAAGTTTCTGTGTATTTGTGTGTTGGTAGCCTCTGGTACAATTTGGGAGTGATCCAATAAAGGATTTCTTCCTGCTACAGAAGCAAGTCTGATTAGATGAACTCTAAGAAACAGGGACACAAGTAATAACTCTTGTGCACTTTTGTGTTACCTTTCTCAATTTCAACTGTCTCCATCCCAGGAAATGTAGCTCTACATTATTTCTCACATCATGAGCAGCCAGGTTGACATTTTAATTTAAATAATGTTGTGTGCAGAAATCGAAGCTGTCAATTTTGAATCCCAGGAAAATATTGGAAAGGGTCTATATTTTATTCATGTTACCTTAAATTAAAAAAAAAGGAACCAAACTTTAGAGCTTTCTGCAATCATTCAGTGTCTTTCCTCACATAAAATTTGTGGCATTGTGCAGAATACTTAAATCATTTATTTCTTTTCTGGAAGAACTTCTGCAGTACGAGGTGGTGAATTTATAGGTGTTAATAAAGAAGTTACAAATATATTGGAAAGTACAGTTTTAATTTGTAGTGATATTTTTCATTAGCTAGAGTTGGTTTGAGACTTTTAATGGCAAGTTTTTGTCAATATTTTGAATTTTTTCCAAGCTGGTAGTGGAAATACTGCATATTTTTGTTCATATTTGCTCCTAAGACATTTCAGGGCCTGAAAATCATTCCAGCCTAACTTGTGAAGATGGAACCTCCTCCAGCAGAGCCATGGAGAAGAACTCTGGAAATGCAGATTTGCAGAACACCCTGGAGCTGAAAGACCACGACACATTTGATATTTTTGGGTAAATTCAACTTGCTGGCTGTGTTATTATGGCATTTTAGATTATTCAAGATGACAACCATGTCAGAACTGAAATAAAAAGAGGCTCTAATTGTGCATTACCTGCTAATTGCAAAAGTCAGCATGACCTCTGTGTGGTGTCTTTGTGTTCTAAGCCACTTCTTGGGCAGCTCAGAGTCAGAACTGAGAGGTGTATTTTGTGGTTTAAAGTCTAAATGATAAATATGAGAATTGTGGGTTTTTCAATGCATTAGCACTGAGATTTATCAGGTAAATCTCTTAAAAATCATCTGCATTCTTGGGTTGTGAGGTAGCTGTGAACAGCTGTCAGCAGGTTAGCTAAAAACCTCTAACTCCCCATATATTCGTTATTTTGCCTTGGACACTGAGGAGATGACTGGAGAAAAGGAAATTCCTCAAGTTCTGTGTCTCACTGGTTTTTTACTGGGATCTCCTGACCAGCAGGAGTCACAGGGAACTCCACGCTGAGAGATTTGTGACAAAAACTGAGGGAAAAGCTGAATTAGAGTAGCTTGCACTGACAACATCTCCAGTAAAAGCTTTTTTTTGGTGTCTTTTAGTTCAACATGTGTGAACATATGTCAGCAAGGCTTAAAGCAGAGAACTTGGGGAATTGGAGGCACTGGAAATCACTGGGGTGTGTTTCTTTTAAGGGACTGGGAGGAAAGCCAAATGGATGCTGAGGAAGCAATTCTGGAGGACAAACTGCAGGTTCTGGCATTACAGTGAACATGGAAAACTCAGTTCAGTCTCCACCTTTCTATGGTTCAGAACCAACAAGATCAAGAGGTGTTTTAAGTTCTGCTCAAGACATCATTAACCAAGGACTATTCTGTAAAGTTTCCATTAAAACTTCTTGAAAATACCTTGTTTTGGCTTTTTTTTTTTTTTAAATATTACTTTGAAGAAATAACAGAAAAAAAAAACTTCTCTTGTGCTGCTATTCTTTAGGATTGTTTTATTTATTGTTTTTAATTCACTGTAAGTTTTCTTGCCTGCAGGTGGAATTTTGTGTCTCCAAATGTGGTTTTATGGGGCCAAGCTGGAAGGTGCCACACCAGGGGTATTAATGGGATAAATTGGGGCTTCTGTATGATCAGGTTTGTGGTGAGCACAGGAGGAGTCTCTAAGGTCAAGTACACTTTGTCAGATGTTTTAGAAAGGACTTGCACCTTGCAGAATAGAATTTAACAGCTTTCCACTGTACATTTCACTTCTGCCACACTTCTATCTCCAGCAGGGAGCCCAGACCAGCAGCAAACCTCTGCTCAGAATCAATTGGGAGTGAATTCCCTTTCTTTCCCTGCTCCATAATTCCAGTTCAGAGGGGTCTGTGTCCAGGCAAATCCAGCTGTGCTGTAAGTTACTGCCTTTCAGACCTTGGATAATTAAAAGAACAAAGAGGAAATGCAGTTAAAATCATCCTGGGTGGTTTGAATTTTAACAAACAACCCCGACTGTCTTTTTGAACTTGCTGTGTTTGTGTTGTATAAAAAGCTTTTTTTTTCCTCCTCCCCAGAAAGTGCAAGGTTTAATGCAATTAATATAATTTCTGTAAAAGCTCATTTGGCCAACATGGTGCTTTGATGTAAAGAGGTTTGGGGACCTTCTTCTCTCTTCTTGAGGGGATGCTTAATTGTACCCAGTAATTGAGTGGCTTTGAAATTACCTAAATGGTATCTTTTGCTAACATCTTTAGGATTCTCAGACACAGCAGCTTGCTTATTTTGACAGTTCTCTTTCCCTTTATGTGCCTGACTCTTTTCTTTTGTTTCTTTCTCTGTGGTTTTAAGGAAAACTTCCCCCTTCTCCCCTAGTTTTGATAATAAAGGTGTATCAAAAAGCAGTGACAATTATTTGCCTTTTTGTGTTGGGAAATTTTGAAAGTGGGATTAATTTAAAGCTTTTTTCTGACAATTGTTCTTAAATGTTTAAGGGTGAACTTCCTGTCAGGGCTCTAAAATTCATGGAAATTGTTATCCTCAGAAACTTTCCTTTAGGAAGAGAAGCTTTAAATTCTGCTTCTGTGTGTTCAGAGGTGGCAGGTGCCCTTCACTAATGGATCAGTGGAAACATTCCAGTCCCTCATTTGGTTTCTGGCTGTTAAGCCCACTCTGGTTGGGATTCTCCCCACGCCCCAGGACTCTGCTGTGTTATCTGCCCCCCCAGCAGCTCTGCACTAATATCAGACAACACTGTAATCTTTGCAACAATTTCTTTTACAGGAACAAGCACTTCAGCCACCCTAATTCATACAAACTAGAGGCATCAGGCTGAACAGACCATTGATTTGATTTCCTGCCTCATTTCTTGGCTTTAAGGTGAGGGCATATTTTCCACCTCAGTTTTCTTTATAGAGTTTACCATATATTGATGTTTTATTACAGCAGTTCTTTGTCAGAAATTGGGAGAATAAAATCACAAAGCAGGAGTTCTACTTTGGAGATGGAGGCCGGTGCTTTTCTTTCATCAGTGTAACCTTTCTTTTTCAGTTACTCTTCCAAATATTCCTATTACACTCATTCCACTGGCACAGACAGCCTGACTGCTTCCATGCTGTTCCCAACCTTTTTTAACAGGAAAACTGATGAAGCAGCTGCTGCTGCAGTGTGTGCCTCAAGCCCTCAGCAGGCAGGGTAATCCTTTAAATTTGGGCTTGTTGGAGATAACCAGAAAGTCGCTGTGTGCTTTCAACATCTGATTTTCAAAGTTTTCCCTTCCCATCCCTTTTGCTTGAAAGAAAAAAAAGAAAAAAAAAAAGCTTTTGATAACACCTGCAACAAAATTTGAGCTAAAAACAAACAAACTCCCTTCAATGTATTAGTGATCTCTGATCTGATTAGTTTAGGCAGTGGTGATTTTAATATACCTCAGTTTTGTCTTCCTGATTTAAAGCATTTGAAGTGGTTTTGTGTTGTTTTCTTCCCCCTCTGTTTAAGTTGTAGTGGTGGAATGGATATCCCAAACAGAAGACCAAAAAGAGCACCAGAATTGCTGCAGTTCTGTGATACATTCGTTGCTAACAGAACAAATTTTGTGCTGGAAGGTTGAAAGCTGTTTATTATTTTGAATGTGGTTTAATGTAATTCTCTGCATAATCTTTAAGGTCCCTTCCAACCCCAACCATTCTATGACTTCTTGTTACCAATACAATCTACAAATTATAATGTTCTTTATTTTGTACCTACCTCTTTTATTTATTTCTACCTCTGCCTGTTGTAGGATGCCTGATCCATACCCAGTGGATTTGCACAAATAAATCATCTTTCCAGTCCATTTAGAGAAGGAGAAAAGGAGGAGGGAGAAGATGAAGGACCAGTTTATTTTTTTGGAGCTTTTGGGGTGAGTTTGTCTTTTTGTGTACATTGATTTTTGGGAATGTGATTATATAAAACATAAATCCTGGGAAATGACTTGGCCATCAGTTTGTGTTTTGAGAAAGGACATCACATTCATTATATGTTAAAGTATTTTAGGATTCCTATTGAGGAGTCTGGCAGGCTCCAGCTGCTTGAGTCTGACTTGTTTTATGTGGCCATTTTCTGCTCTCAGTGTAAAGGGGAATAACAGAAATGCCACAGGATTCCAAGTGCTGGAATTCCCAAACTGCTTTTCCCTTGTCTTCATCAAGTGCTGTTCAGGAAGGTCAGAGGGGCTGGTGAATGATCAGCTGGCACTGCCCAGGGGCTGTGATGCCACATCCTGACCCACATCTATGTGCTTGCTTCTCATCACACAACCAATTTCCCATTAATCAGCACATTTACAGTGTAAAATGAATAATTCTTGTGCTCAAAATCCAGACCAGTTTACCAAGGAATCCTTGGACTATTTTAACTGGCTGGTTTGTCTGGCTGCCAGACTTTGTTATTTTGGTGTGGAAGGGCCACTCCTCCAAGTGAGAGAAACCTCACCAAGTCCTTTCTCATCTGGCTTTGCACATGGGCATGGGCAAAGATTGGACAGTGAAAATTGAGGTTTTCCTCATGATGTTTCTTTTCACCCAGTAAGGGATGAGTTCCACTGAAACACTGTAAAGGTCTCTGCTCCCGCTCCAGAGCACAGCTCTGTTTTACCCTTTGATTTTACCCTTTAATAGACTTTAGGATGCTGTCATTTGCTGCATCTCATTTATAAAAATTAAGAGTTGTTCTTTCCTCCATCATAATATAGCTTACATGCATCTCATTTAATTATCAGGAACACATAAACCCAATTAGTTTTAATTTATCCAGACCATTTGCATCAGAGACAAATACATCTGTCTTTTTCATTTCAAAAATGAATCCTGCAAATTGCAAGCCATCAACACAAGGGCATTTCTAAATTATTTTGGTCAAGAGAACTGTTCCATGACTTTCTAGTTAATTAGGATTAATTAGGTTGTTTAATATGCTTATGCTCTTGGTAAGGGATGGAAACATAATAATCTATTTTATGTTAATAATACAGATCAGTTAACAAGCCCAAGGAATGGAAGCCTCCAAAACCAAAGCTGATTTTCCATATACTGAGGGATGTTAAGACCCTCAAAGGAAAACTCTGATTTATTTCAGTAATACTGAGGGATTTCAAATGCTGATTTCCAAAGGAATTACAACAGAAGGGTTAAGGAACAAATATTCAGCAGAATGAGCTGTGAAACCTTGGTAGGTCTGAAATAGATTCTATTTTATTTTTAACTAAAAATCTGTAAACCCCAAACCTAACAAAAACTCAGCAAATCCTTCAGCATTTGCCCAGTGTGTGTCTATTATATGTTTCTCTGAACCTAATGCAACAAAAATTACCCAATGCTTGTGCTGAAGAACACAAACATAATTTTTAGTTGACTATTTTTTTGGGGCACCATTTCTTGTGCTACTTCTTTTTTTCTAATATTTACTTGGCAAGATGAGATAGTATAAAACTCCATCAATTTTAATTTGTTTTCCTTTGTCTGCTGTGGTTCTTCCCTGTGTTAAATTTACTGCAAGTGTGCTGATTTTTGGTTAAAGGAACTCTTCATTGGGAGAGGCCTTCCATAATTTCCTGCTGTAGCCAGTTTTTCTGTGCCATAAAATAATGGCAGTAGATGCAGAACTCTGAATAAACATCTGAATAACAATGGAAAGGTGATTAATATGAGTTGGGAATTATGCTTGGATCTACCAAAATCCTGTTTGTAACGTGAAAATGCTGTGAATTGGGCAGTGACTGAGAGGAATGAAAAGTTACCAAAACACGGTGGCCCATGGTGTGGTGCCCACAAACCATTTCTACCAATGCTGCTTCTGCACCAGAGCCCTGACAATTATTTTATGGTTTTTTTATTGTAAGTTTGAATCATTTATACAGGGAAACCTGTAGAGAAGTTAATTGAATGTGGCTCAGTTTGAAAAATGTGAACATTTTTCTTAAAGTGCTCTAAAACAGCCTGGAAAAATCATGCTCTGTTGCATTAGTTTTGTCTGGCTGCTGGAGCTTGCCAAATACAAATATACTTTCTCCTCTACTATATTTAATTTTCCTACTTATATTACATTAGAGTTGCTATTAAATTATCAAATAGATACATCATATGTTGCTTGAAACACAGCTGCTGTTATTTGCATTTAGCTGTAAGTGCTGTAAACCACTTTTTATGGTCACAATAAGAACACCAGCAACAAACAGAACAAAGAGGGTTCTTTTTTTAAAAAAAGCAATTTTTGAGGCAGAGAGGAATCACATCATCTGGCCTGATTCCAATCACTGGGCTTGCATGGGTTGTTTCTCTCTTGGCCAATCTGTTAATGAAGGTTGAAGTTTCATTCTGCTACATTTTTTGTAGTAGTAGAGGTGAGCCAAGCTTCAGAAATGTTGGGCCTCAGAATCAGATGGGAAAGGAGTGAGAGAACAGAGTTATGATCAGTTTCTAGATCAGAAAGAGCTGCAGGTATAGATACAACTTTTCCTTTCCTGCACATCCCTCCCTATTTTTTCCTTCCTGTCTGATTTTTTTTTTTTTTTTTTTGGTCATTTTAACGTTACTTTTAGGGCTTGTATCCATTTAAAGAATGAGTTGCTTTTATTGTGTAATTTTTTGGAAGGAGTTCAAAATGGGAGCTGAGATCAGGGTTCTGATTTCTTTTTCCTACTTTTTACTACTTGATAAAAAGCAAATATCCTGGCCTTCCCTTCAGCACAGATCGTGCAAATGGCTGAAATGTGGATGATGAAATCTCAGAACATGCAGGAGGGACAGCCCCAATCTGCTCTTGATAAAGCCTGTGGGAGGCTTGCTGGTGAAAAAGCACATCCTGTTCTCAGTGACATTGTTGCTGTGACAGTTGAAATGACTTTGGAACTCATTTTAGAGAATGGCCTTTCCCATGCAGAGTCTTTGCTCATCCCTGTAATGGCTCCAGTGCCTGTCCCTGCTCAGCCCCTGGAACAGCCAGGATTTGGGAAGAGGGGCTTGGAGTGCCAGGAGCTGCACTCCTGTGGATGGTTTGTTAAGAGAAGATCTCCTGGAAATAATTTCCAACATCTTTCAACTGCTATAAACTTCCTCAGGTGTAGAACATGGGGTTCAGGCTAATAAACTGCCTGGGAAAGAGAGAGCTGAGGAAATAATCTTCAAACAAATCTTCTGGTACAGGGAACAGACTCTGAGCCCAGGTGAGCTGGTGGCTGGCTTAACTTCTGCTTTCAAACCTTTTTAAATTACCCAAATTTTACAACCTCCTGTCCATCTTTTCTTGTTTAAAGTTATGATATAACTACTAAAATAACTTCCCTGATGTGCAAAATTTCATTGCTAGGAAGCGTTGTCATTGTCAGGCCGAAAGTTCTCACATTTTGCTCTCTAAATTCCTTGTGCTTATTTGCAGTGCTTGCAAGATTAATGTGGGTGGAAATAAAATCTTCAGCTTGGTTGTAGGTAAACAAATATCTCCCATGCAGGAAGATGTTTAATAAGAGATTGGTTGGAAATTAATCTTCCCTTTTGTGCTGTAGCCAAAAGTGGGAAAACTCAAGCTGGATGTATAAATGGTTTTCATGTAGCTCTTTTCAAATGACTTTTTTTGAATTTTCATGGAATCACAGAGTGGTTTTGGCTGGAAGGGAGCTTAAAAACCTTTTCCTTCCACCCTTCCATGGCAGGGACACCTCCCACTGTCCCAGGCTGCTCCAAGCCCTGTCCAGCCTGGCCTTGGGCACTGCCAGGGATGAGAAGTCCACAACCTCTCTGGAATTGTGCCTTGTGTGGGGTTGAGATGGAAATGGGGAAAAAAAAAACCCCACATTTTCCATTTTGATGGAGCACAGCATTTTAAACTTCAATTTCCCGTTCAATATTAAGCAACCTGAAGAGATTTTTCAGTTTTCAAGCTGTAAAGCTTCATAGCCAATATGCAGAGACCTCCTAGATCAAAAAACCATCCTAAATCATTGCTAAATCAAACAGATTAGAGTTTTTTCTCTGCTTGTAGGCAGCAGGATGGATAGAGCCAATAACCTGCTTTCTGTGGAATATTTTTTGTTTTCATTGTTAATAGGTGTTGAAGCAATTTCAGCTGTTTGCTGCTGTCTGATTAAGAACTGCTTAGATCAGGGAATAGGCTGAAGGTTTAAGGACTGGCTCAGCCATGACACCATTGCCCAGGCCAAAGGCAAGGCAAATTAACTGACAATAATGCTAAACAACATTCAGACTTAGGAATATTATTGTTGCTAAGCCAGCTTGAATTTTACAAAGAATTTTTTAGGCCTGGTTATCAAGAACCTGTTTTCATGGAAAAATCTTTGAAATTAGACCATAACTTGGATTTAAAGGGTACTGGAGATCATCCTGATGTTTTACAAACTGTGTGAAAGAGAAGATTTAATGTTCTTAGGAGTTTCAAATGTTGTTCACTTCATCAAAAACCAATACAGGAATGTGATGGTTACCCTTTATTTTTTTCTGAATTGCACTGGGGACATGAAGTATCTTTTCATAATTTACCAGACATTTTTAATGTACAGCACTTCAAAAGACAGTGTTTTATAGTTATCTGCAATTCCCTTCTGCAGTACAAATTAAAACTCGCCGAACTTGCTTGGAAAAGCATCACCACATAAACATTTCTTATGCTTCATGATGTCTGTTTGGAAAGTCAAAATAGCTTCCTAGAGAATATTTTTCATGTTAATCTTTCTACCTGAATTTATCTGGCAGTGTAATTCTGTGAAAGTTGATGAGTTTGCTTATGTAACTTATGTGTACAATGCTTTGAATATCCCAATCATCTCCAAGTAAACCATTTTCCTTTCTCTTCCCTCAAGCATTTTCTACTGAACCTGGAAAAATTGGGATGTTTGACTCCTACATTAACATCCCCGGTGTTTACATCGTTCCTACAATGCAAAGCTGCACAAGTGAGGACTGGGAGGCAGCACCAGGAACAGGCTTATGGCACAGCATGTGGGGAGTGCTTAGAAAATCACACCAGACAGACAATTTACAGCAGTGGGGGTTATTTTTCACTCCAAGACTTTGATCTGGCTGCAGGGTGTTTATCAGGACTGCTTTGCATGACATCTTCGTTTTATAAGGCAGCTGAAGAATGATGGGGCTGCTTTCCTGACAATTTTCTAAACAAAGCAGAATGCTTGCTGCTCAACAAAAGCTTTTCTTTTCTTCCATTTAGTCAAATATCAGAACAAGAAATAACTGCAGAGTTTTATTAGTTGCAGATTACTTGCCCAGACAGCTGTGCTCTCAGCATGTCATCAAAAAAAACCTGCTCTCAGAAGCCAAAGCAGCCTTAGAAGCTGATCAATTTAAACACAGAGCAAAAGTTGTGGCTCACCCCGAGGTATTAAGGGTGTTAAATGCTCTGCCAAGGCACAGGGCCATCACTGTCACAGCTCTGCAGAGATCCCTGCTCCTGTTGGGGTTCTGTTCCTGCAGGCTGGGAAGGCAGAAAGCAGCTAAGGACAGTGGTGTTTGTTAACAGCTCACCCAGGGAGGGAGGGTGGCCAGGGCCTGGTGTCCTTTCCAGGTAAAATCTATTGGGAAGGAGGGGGAAGAGCTCCACTGGGAAAACTCTGAATCCCTGGTGGCATCTCCTTTGCACTCTTCCTCCAGAGCAGGCAGCAGGGCCAGCTGGGAGCAGCCTGGGCTGTGGAAGGTGTCCCTGCCATGGCAGGGGTGGGACAGGATGAGCTTCAGGTCCCTTCCAACCCAAACCACTCCGGATTCTGTGGATAAAGGTTTTGGAAAGGCTAAAAGGGCTCAGGAAGTTTCTCTTCTTTTGGGAGACTCAGTTCTATTCCCAGCATTGTTGCCTGTGCTGTTGTTGTGTGACCTGTCCTCAAAGGGACACAGACCTTCACTTAAAACACCTTTAAAAAAATGTCTGATTTCCTAAATTGCCTCTGTGAGAACAGAAATAAACAAAGGAAGGGAACTAAGCTTTGTGAGGCTTGGCATGAGCTTTAGCTGAGAATGTTCTCTCTGTCAATTTGGAGTGATTTTCAAAAGCACAGTAAGATTTCACAGTGTTGGACAGGAGGATTTGAGTCAAAATGAGACATTAAATTGGGATATAGGCACAAGCGTAAATTAGGTGTAACAAGGAAACATTCTCAGGTTTTTTTTTTTTTTTCCTGACAGGAATAGCATACACAGGAGCTGGATGCCTGTTCCTGGCAGCATTTATTTTTTTTATGGTGAGGATAAATTGGACATGAGTGAATCCTCCTCTGGCAGAATTTTTGTTTCCAAGTGTCCTGCAGCTCAGGATGCAGAGCACGAGCTGGGTGGTGGTGCCCATTTCACTCCTGCCAGTGACTCTTTCCAGCACTTCAACAAGTGCTGGAGGAAAAACATGCTGAAAATTCTAATTATCCTGCTTGGTGCTATTGCTATTTCTTCTTAATTAAAAAAAAAAAAAGGTTAATGTCTCCTTTTGGTGGCATCCACTCAATATTTGACTCTTCATTTTGATTCAAATTCCATTGCCTTATAATTTACAACTCAACTAAACATTTCTTTTCATGAATGACACCCAAGGCTTTGTGCCTGCAAGTATCACTGCATGAAGTGGGTTATTTAAAGCAAAAATCTGTTTGCTTCCAAGAGAAGAACAATGCTCTGAGTGTGAATGATGTGTCAAAACGTCAACCAAATTGTCACCTGAATGTGGCAGCTGCTCCATTCTGAGGTTCACATTAAATGAAGATAACTGAGGAGTGTTGTAGGTGGCTTTGTTTGTTTTGCTTAGTGAAGATATTGGTTTGATTAGAAATGCTTTTTCAGGAATCCTCTTTGACAGCAAACAACCAAATGGTTTTACCTGGGTTTTTTGAATAAACTCCTGCTGCCAAACTCTTCTCTGCAAAGTATTGTTGTGGGTGTTGGGCACCACTGAGACCTGACCCAGATTCCTCCCACACTCTGCTGTGCTCTGTGTTCTCCAACCAGCCTGGCTCCCTCTCCTTCCAGCAGTGCTGATCAGGGTGGGTGTATTGCAAGATAAAGCAAATCAGCTTTTGCAATTATTTTTCTTTTTCCTGTGTCCTCTGGTACAGGAGGCATTTTGTCCTTGCTCCTCAAACTTTGCTTCTTATCCTCTGATGCCTTGTGCAGGCTGCCCTAGAGCAGAGGCTGGGCAGAGTCACAGAATAAATTCAGGATTTATTCAAGGATCTCCTCCATGGATCCACCTTGGGCAGCACCAGAGCCCAGCCAGGGCTGCACCCAAGATGACCCAAAATGGCCCCAAAATGCACGAGCGCTCCCGGGGGCTCTCCCTGGGATCAGTTCTGCTCCATTGGCACCTTGGAGTTCATTGTCCCATTCCAGCTTTAGCCCAGGCAGTCCCACCCTGCTTGTTTTTCTCTCTCCAGCCCACGGTGTTTGTGCTCCTGGGCTGAGATTTGGATCATTTGTCCTTGGTGCCCAGCTGGAGCAGGAATTGTTTTGTCTCCTGCTCTGTGAGGAGAGCTCAGCATCCCATAATGTGAAGCTCAGAAGTGCACACTAAAGCAGCACAGGATCTGAAAATTAGAAAGCTCAAACCTGAGGCATCACCTTCACCTGTTCTTTTCCATCCCCTTGCTGCTGGTAATGAACATGTTGAGGGAGAGGAGAGAACAAAAACCTGTGGCTGATTGCAAAGCAGAGTTGGACTCTACTGGTGAGATTTCTGGATTTTGCACTTTTTACAGAAATTTCTGGTTTCCAGGACTGAGGTGTCCAGGCCTTTTTCCCCAGCACTGCTATTTTTGCCCATCTTTGGCTGGCAGCCCTCAGCAGGGGAGGCTGCTGCTCCCTTCCAGATTCTTGGGATCCAGCTCAGGAACCCCAAATAATCAGTTGCTGTTCTTTGGTGTGTGTGGCAGCCAGGAACTAAAAGCTCCTGCAGGATGCTTTAGTCTATATCCTATATATATTCTATATTTAATCTATTTATTATTATACAGAACATTATTCTTCTGTACGATTCCAACTTCAGGTGTGTCCATTTCCATCCACTGAAGTGGGGGTTACTTATTTTAAGTTATTAGAAATGCAGCATCCAGTATACAAAAACATAATAAATTGAGTTCCAAGATATTTTTTACAAGATGAGGGGAGCTGGGAAAAGAAAAATAGAGAAAACCAGAGTAGGTTTAATTGTACTGATAGAGAGAATGTGTGGGACTATGAAACTGAGGGACTATTGTGTATTTTTTATAGGGGAAGTGAATTTAAAATTTAAAGATTACCTATTGCAAGAGCAGGGATGTATTTATAGATGCTTAACCCTGTGTTCATGTGTTTTCAGCTGGAGTGTGTATAAAAGTAAATTGCTTAATAAATGCAAATGATTTGTAGCACAACTTTGGGCTGTAGAGCAGCTTTAATATTATGACTTTGGTCAGATTCCCTTCTGTTCCCTCACATAACCCAGCCAGAATGATGGCCAAACCCCACAGAAGCAGGCAGCACATCTGTGGTTGAGTTTTCCTGGGGAAATGATCCTGCAAAATGTGTTTTCTGTAGGGCTTGTTGGACTAGGTTGACCTCTGTAACAGCTTTATTCTCTTCAGCAGCCTCGAGTTTTGAGACAAATCAATAAATTGAGCAGGAGCAATGCACAAAGAGCAGATGGTCTTCACCCAGTGCTTGTAAGGGAATTAAAATGTGAAATCACCAGCCTGCTGCTGTGGGACACCACTTGGATCTGCCTGGGTGCAGAAGGAGCAGCAGGGAGGAACTCTCACCCCAGCCTTCCTTTCAGTGTGGAGCTGAATTCAAATCTGACTTAGCACAGCATAAAAAAAAATTCAGGTGCTCAGAGGAATGGACAAACAGATGTTGGGGAGTTCTCTCTGTAACTTTTATGAAGATAAACAGTACCTGGAAGATTTTAGGAGAAGTTAAAAAGTGTGAGGATGACATAATTTACATATTACATAAAGATTTTTCAAACAAAACTCTTAAAAATATATAAAAGCTTTTTAGGAAATTGAACAAGAGTTTGGATTAAAAATTAGGCTTTTTAGGCATTCACAACTTACTAAAAACTTATTTATTATTAAAAAGAGCTGGAACTGAAGGACAGGCTTTCATGTGGAGGCAATTCCAAGGCCTGCATAAATATGGCCTGGAAAAGGAAATAAATAGGTGACAATTTGCTGCTGATGCAAAGTGACTCAGAATATTCTAATTAAAACTGGCTGTGGGAGCTTGCAGAAATTCTTGTGTGACTGAGGAAACAGAATATTAATAAATGAGTGACTGTAGGTGGGAAGGAACCTTAGCCAAGGTCATGGCTGAGTTCTGAGCTTGTTATTGGGGAATAATCCTTGTCTGATTTCCCCTGGAGGTGTGGCTGAGTGGCAACTGAGCTGCCACCCATGGAATTCCCTGTGGAGCAGGGTGAGGCCACCTTCTGCACTGCTCTGCTCACTGGTGAGGGAATGGGGGAAGGAAAAGTCAAATTCTCTTTTCTTTGGGAAGGAAATTCCCCGGGAAAGACCTTATTTTGCAGACAGCACACGATTTTTTTTTTATTATTATTTTTAAAAAAATTTTTATGTTGGTTAATTTATTTTTGCCATTTATCTAGTGTTTTGGAGGTGCTTCCATAACCTTGCTGCTCCAAGAGTCGACTTTATCCCACTTCCAGATTAACTTTGATTTTAATTTGACTGTCAGAAATGTTTATTTCTAACCAGCATTTTTAGTTTATAAGGATCTTCTCTCTCCATCAGTGCTTTTCTTTCAAGTCATTGTATCTAATGAGAGGCAGCAATTAAAGCCCCACATTAAAACTTTGCTAAACTGATCAAAGACAGTGTCTGGCAGGAGATTCCCCTTGGTCCTTAGGATAGGATGTGACTAATTCACCTTTTTATGGCTCCAGCTGTGTTTGCTATAAAAGCTGTGGAAACTCCATTGTTTAGTAATGTAATTAAATTTAGGAGAGGTTTAATGCAGCCACTCCATGCGATGAAGCAAATGACTTCTGAGATTCCTTGAAGACTGACTGCATAATAATGCTCATAAAATTTCTCCTTTGTTTCAGAACTTCACAAAAAAAGTGAAATCTGGCACTTGGCAGAGCCAGAAGGAAACATCTGGATGCTTTTGATCAAAGATGCTTGAGGAAAATGAGACTGCAGAGCATCAAGAATGGCACAGTTTGAGAAAAAGAAAGAAAGAATGAAACTCTCCTCATCAGAAGTTGGTAAATTTTGGGGGAAATTTGCTGTGTAGTTTTTTTATTCTTCCAATAAAGCTTAATGCTTGCACAGAACTTTCAAATAAGTTGTTTTAAACACTGGGGTTTCAAGACAGGCACTGAAGCTGAAATATATCTAAAATTAAGAAAATTAGCTGCAGAAGGGTCTTCTGCAACATGTGGCAGAACTTTAAGTTAGTAAATGGAAGCTAAATGATTTTCATACTATCCAGTGTTCAGCTTTCTGCAAGAATAAATAATTTCTTTGAGCAGTAGTTGAGTAACTGGAAACACTCTGTGTCTGAGCTAAAAGAGTGATTTATCTTCCATTGCTTTCTGAGTGCTGTATTATGTTACAAATCTAAAGCTATTCAATAAATTACAAAGAATTTGTGTATTTTTTTTTTTCAGGGATGTGATTTCTGTGGTTTCCTGAGCACACAGAAGAGTGGAGAGGACCTTCTTTGCCCATTTGCTAGAGAACAGTTGATACTACATTTGACAATCCTGTAATCCAATTTATATCCAGCTTGCTGCTGGCCACCTGTGAGCAATTTTATTCTGTGGCTTTTTGTTTTAATCTTGAGAGCATCATTTGTCTGTGGAAGATGATTCCCTTGGACTGCCTCAGGATCTTGGGCCCACCACAACAGCTGGGTGCTTAATTCAGACACTTGGAGATACTGAATCCTGATTTTTGGTAGGAGTTTCAGTCTGTGGGATGAATCCTACACTCAGAAATTTGCTTTTCATGCTGTGGTGTTTGCTGCCATTGTCCTGTGAAGGTGAAGTTGTGCAAAATGAAATGTAAAGGAACCTGACTGGCTGACTGCTCCTTTAGGCAGTAAAATCAAACAGTCCTTAGCTGCTGGTAATGGTATCAGCAGTGATTTCTTCATTTAATAACCCAGACAAAATGATTTTACTGTTTAAATTTCCTTTTGGGGGGTTTGGGAAGGGATGGTTGTCCCCTGTAATGTGATCCTGCTCCTCTGATCTCCCACTCAGGTATTCACATTTTTTCCTTTTGTTCAGTGAGTATCCCAGGCCCTGGTGCAAAGGCCAGGGATGCTGGGGGGGTTCTGCTCTGGCTCTTTTTCATCAGATTCCAACATTTCTGTTGCTTCTGCCTGCTCAGGGCTGGGCTGAGGTTGTTGTAGGGGCAGGGGATGGAGGGAGGTGCTGAGCTACCCCAGCAGGCTCCATGGAATATCAGCTTTATCATTCCTGCTTGGCCACACAGCTCCTCTAGTGTGCCCTGCTAGCCAAAAACGCTCCTTATTGAGATGTAAAGTGCTGGATTTCTTTCATGGCCAAGTACATCTGTCAGGGTTCTGTTCTGGCCTGTGGAGGTGACATTTTGCTTTCTGAAAGCTGAGATTTGTGGCCAGTATGTAACACTGAATTTTCTGTGTCTGACCTGATCCTGTGCACAAATTCTCTTCTCTCTGTGCATCTGTGTATAACAGAAATGGGGAGATTTCAGAGTAAGGCTTTTTTAAAGTGTTTTATATTCAGATTTAATAGCTGGAATGTAGTGAGGTGTCTGAGCCAGTTGATAAAATTAAACTTTAATAGTGCTATTTGAGCAGAAATCTAAATTCTACTCTCTTACCCCATGCACTGTTGAAGGGTTGATGTTGTGTTTATGTCCAGGTAGCACCTAAAGCAGAGGTGAAAAGCTGTGCTTGGACTTTCCTGGAATGAGATTATGTTTAGGAGTGCTTAATTAATTACAGAAGGGAAATTTGCATGTGCATTTCTTTAGATCAGTGATGCACATTTTCATGGTGCATTTTGTGTGTTGAGATGGAAGTTGAGACTCCTTTTTGTGAAAAGAAAATGAAATAAAAGGAAAGAACGTGACCTGAATTAAATAGGTCTATTCTTATCTTGAATGATAAAAAGAACAGGGACTGGTTGAAATTCTGCCCTGACACAAAAATTCCCCACAGGCAGACAGTGAAACCTGAAAGCCCTGCTCCTGAAAAAAAAAATAAATGGAATATCCTGAGTTGGAAGGGACTCACAGGATCATTGAGTCAAGCTCCTGAACCTGCCCAGGATATCCCCAAAAATCCTGAGAATGCAGAGACTCCTGAGCCTGAGAACACTGTCCAAATGCTTCTCGAGTCTAATTCCAGCCCTTTCCATCCTCCACAGTGCAAAGCCTCCAAATAAAGAGCAAAAGGAAGCAAATCAAAGTGTAAAGCTCATTTTACAGCAAAGACAGAGACCTGAGCATGTTCTGTAGTTTCTGATTTCCTGGGTCTAACCTCCCAAACTGCCCTTAAATGACCCAAATATGATCAATTTAAAATGTGCTCCAAAAGTCAGATATCTGGGAGGAAATTTTCCACTTTTTATTTCACCAGTGCTGCAGGATGCTGCCTGAGAATAATGCACAACCTCTCTCCTGGCTGCACAGAAGGGTGAGGAGAGGACAAAACCTGCACCTGGCTCTTCAGCAGCATGAGGCACCTGGGCACAGGTAAAAACTTGGGCAAACAATGGGGGCTGAAGCAGGAGCACATCAGGGATGGGGGAGCCACAGAGGGGCCTCAAGGCAGCCCTGCTACTGATGGAAAGCCATGCACAGCTCTTCAGCTGCTGGGGGAAAAGAAAAATCCACTGTCAGAGGCACCCCTGGGTGATGTGTGATGACAGCTCAGGTGGGCCATCAGTGCTTACATTTTTGGCCCCATCCACCTCCATGCTTTGATAGGAACACCCACTTGGACACTTGGCTGCAGCAACAGCACTGGGAGCTCTCACAAGGAGAGAGCTGTGGATTTGGATTCCCCACAAGCACAAGTTTGCCTGCCTTGATGGTTTTTTAATGTGTTTTATTTTTGCTTTCCGTGTCTGATAGAATTGTTGAAATGAATGATGTCGTGCAGCAAACTTTGGGATGCCTAGGGCAGCACTCAGACACACTGAGTGGAAATATTAAAAACCTGTCAGATGGGAAAGGGCTCCTTCCTTTCTAAACTGCCAATGTTTTATACACTGCCAGAAACACCTCTGCTTCTCCTGTGCTACCTCAGCTGCTACTGATGAAATTTGGTTTTCACTCACCCAGCTCCAGTCTTGCTTAAGGGCCTGAAGGAGATGATTACTTAAGTCAGGGAGCAATTTAAGGGAGGTGGAATGTGAGCAGCTTTCTAAGGAAGAGGTAATGGAGTTGGGTTTAACTCTTGCTATGACAGTAAAAAAAATTTGCCCTTTTTCAGAGGATTTGTCTGTGTCTGCCCAAAGTACCTGTGCATTTTTCTTATTTTTTCCAGCTTTTCTCAGTTTGTGCAGGGAGTGAGGTGAGAAGGAGCCCTTATCTCTTCCAGGTGTAACCACAGCATTTCTGCTTCATTGTCTCTTTTCATTTTTCATTTGATTTAGAAAGGACCATCTGTGAGTTTGAATAAACATTTAAATGCAGGGAGTAATAAACCTGTGTTGCTGGTAACTTTTTCTGGAGACTATTGATGTTTATTTGGGGACTCAGAGGGAGCTCTGCAGAGGCTTTTTGCTGCAGCCTGGAGTGGTGGCAGTCCTAAGGCTGGTGTCAAGCCCTCCTTAGAATCCTTATGGTCTGCTCAGAGTAGCGAGAGTGGCTGATCTGTGCAAATAAATGTAATCTGTACAATTTGGCAAACAAATATGTCTGGGGCAGACAAAGCTTAAGGTCATTTTTGTTGAGAAAATTTTATTCTAAAGCAATAGGTTAAATGGGTAGGTGTAAATAAATGCAGCTCCAAGAGCTGTTTGTTTTGTCGTATTTAGGTCCAGGTTTTAGGTATTTGCTCCTACGTTTATCTGGATGTTGAACATGGATGAGAAGAAACCTTACAGAGTCTTTCCCCTCTGGCTGTGGAGCTGTTACTGACTGAAAACAAAGTATAAATTGCAATATTAATTGTAATTTCTTATTGGGAAATGTAATGAAGGCCTTTTTTTTTTTTTTTTTTTTTAAGATTTTCTATCTATTCCTTCAAAGAAAGGGACTCCTTCACCGAAGCCTTGAATGTCATTAAACCCTTCCTCAACTGCAATACCTTAAAGTGTTAAAGGAAGAGAACAGAAAAAGAGGAGGTTGTTCTGCAACTGTTTGGTTGAAAAGGAAGATGGAAATACTGAGTCGGGCTTTGAGGATTCAAGAATAAAATATTGAATGAATGAGACTCCTCCAAATGGCTTCTGATGTTGAAGGTGTAGTCAACCATAAAAGCTGTGCCCAGAACTTCCCAGAGCATTTAATTTTGAGGAAAGGAGGTCTAGGAAAAAAGGAGTATTTCTTCCCTCTGTAGAAGCAAAGTCTTGAGTGCATTTTCAAGAGAAAACAAGTTGCACAACATCAGTGCAACAATTCACAATCAACAGGAGATTCTGGAGATGCTCCTTTTTGTAAATTCAGCAGCACCACAGGGGGAGAAGTGCTGAGCCTTTGAAAACTAAAAATCCCTGCCTCTGAAGGCATGTTAGCAGCATGGGTTCAGCAATTTTAATAACCACCTTTGCTTGGAAACTTGCTGTTGGTGTGATTTGCTGACATGACTGCCATGAAAACCTTTATAAATTGGGTCCTGGAAGACTGGCAGATGGAATTGCAGAGCCCCCATGCTGGATTTGAAACAATACTTATTGCATCCACACACAAGTGTGGCTATACAGCACTTAAAAATCATCTCTAATCCAATTCCTGCCCATGGCCTCCATTTTAAATGTTTTTGGGTTTTTTTTCTGTAGGTGTCACTAGAGCATAGCAGATAGAAACCACTTTCCTTAATGAAAATGTAGAATCCCCACAGATCTGAAGGAAACTGTAATCTGGTTTTCTGTGCCATGGTTGTCATATCAACAATGAGGTTTCTCAGCAACTAACAGAATATTTTATAGATTTATTTACTTATACTTTTTAATAATGAACTTGATACAAGAGAATTTTTTCCCCTTTATAATTATATAGCAATTGAGAAAGTCTTCCCAAATAATTTACATTTTGTTGTCATATTAATACCAACAGTTAAAATGAATCTTGTTAATAAAAGGGAAGCTGATAGGATTCATGAATGCACCAGAATGTAGCCATTTCATCTTGCAAAACTTTTTGTATTTCTACTTAACTGATTGCTGAAAGAATAATTTGTGTATATGGATTTGATGGTGTTGATTTTCAGGGCTGCTCAGGATGTAAACTTGGTGTGTGTTGTTCTCTCTGCTTGCATAATTTTTGAAAGTATTGAAGAGAGTTTGCTTTTTAAATTAGGGTTGAAGGAAATGCCTTGAAACCTGCTTTTTATTGTCAGTATTAATCATACAATCCTGGAATGGTTTGGGATGGAAGAACCCTTAAAGCTCATCCCATTCCACCTCCCCACCTTCCACTCTCCCAGGTTGCTCCAAGCCCCTGTCCAACCTGGTTTTGGACACCAACACACTCCATCCTAAATAGAAATTCCCAAAGGAGCAAATTGCTGCTAGTCCAGTGGTTAAGGCCCAGCTTTAGTCCTTGCTTTCAAAAAGAATTGGGAATTTTGCACTCTGTCCTTATGGCACATTAATTTGGCACCATTTTTCCTCCCTGCTCTGCAGGATGCTCTCTTGGGTGGCAGCATCAGCAGCAGGGAATGATGTGGTCTGGAATTCTCTGCAGGAAGATTGTCTCCCCCTGTTTCCCCTTCCCTGGAGGATTGTTTTAATTGTTGAGCCATTATCTGATACTCTGGCAATCATTTAAAGCCAATCCACTTGCTCCTGTCTGGTAGCTGTGCTTGGAACTCTTGGGGTCTCCAGGGTGTGAGGAGCCTCTGTACTTAATTAGAGAACTGGGATTTATTAATCTGCTCCTTAAGCTGGGATCCTTCAGCTGCAACTCTAAAATCTTCCAGGCAAAAGGGAAGACTCGGTGAATTTCTCACCTAGGCAACGAGTGAGAATGTGGGTGGGTTTTTTTGGATGGTGATTTTGATTTAAGCTCTAAAAATCTGTGCAAAGCCTTTGGGAGTTTGGCTTGGTGTGCATTCCTAATGGATCAAATTGCTGGAGATGCTGAGGGATCACGTTTCCTCAGGGGCTTAAATAGGAGCTGGAAGCCAAGTTCTGCCCTTTGGCCTCTCAGGGAGTAGGTGTGTTGCAGAGACATTTCTTGCACTCAAACTGTCTTGGATTTCCACTCTGTTCAAATGACTGTGTAATTTATACCACACCTCCTAATAAACTCTCCCTCTGCTTCCTTGGAGAATACAGCACTTGAAGTTAATTAAATAGAGGAGCTCTGTGAAGCTCAGAGAAACTGGAACAGCTCTGATTGTCTGACTGTAGGAGATCATCTCAAAGAGGTGTTTGGGCACTTATTAGCAAACTGGGAAATTACATGTGAAGAAGCAGGGATTGTAGATGCTGTGCAAAATCTGAGGAAAGATCTTCCTTAAGATCCAGTTCTTAAAAGGGTGTTCAGGGAACAGAGAGGAAAAGAAAAACCCAACTGGTGAGCAATCAAAAGAAATGTATTCTTTTATTTTTAGAGAAATAGATTCACTCTCTGTTTGGGCATAGAAGTGGAGCAGACTTCTAAACTCTCTGGCATAGAGGCCACTGGTTTATGTTGGTTTGAAATGCAGCATTTTCAGAAGATGATGTGACACTCACTCAGGAGCCCTTCTCCCACCCTTTCTGTGCTGTGATGACCTAAAGCCATTGAAGTGTTGCCTTTTTCCCAACCTGGAAATGAAATTTGAAATTATTTTAGTAAGGAAGTAATAAAAAAGAGGATCTTTATTGAAGGCCTTCAGGGGCAGTCATGGAAAGAAGCCCACCAAAGCCCACCCCACCAGGACCGAGTACATTTTATAGCTTTTAGGAAATTAGCATAACTGATTAAAAGCACCAATTAGGAGCACAAGTGGTGATGCAATTTCCTCCCCAGGTCAAGCCCCTTCTCTGGAGCCCCCCTTGGCACTGGCTGTGTCTGTCCATGGGATGGATCTCCAAGAGTTGTTCTCAGCCTTGGATCCCAGCCAGAGCCAAGGCAGCCCTGGGGCTTGGAGCTCTGGAATTTTCTGTCTTTGTGCCTCAGGAAAAGTCATGGAAAAGGCTGGGAAAACGAGTCCCTAATACAATAGGTGACAGAGTTACAAATACATGTGTGAAGAATACAGAGACTATAAAAGAAAAAAAAGGCAAAACCTAAATGGCATCAGAAGGAACTGGAACTGGAGCAATGTTCCTGTAATTCTTTGGTTATGATGCACAAATACCTCAGGAAAGAAGGCTCAGAAACCCACAGACAGCTTTTCTACAGTTCCATGTGATCCTGTGGGCTGAGCCGAGAGTGACACAGGTTTTAACTAATTCAGAGTAGTGAAAAATAGGGATAAATCTGAACTTTTTATTTTAAGGGGGCTCACGTGGTGACTTGTTTCAGATACAGGTGTCTGTGGTAACCCAACAATAAATGAAACTTCTCCTCATGGGACATTGGTTCCTGCTTGCCATAATTATGTCTGCTGGGGGTTTTGTTCATCTGTTTTGACTCTTTGTGGAAGTTTTATCACTGTATTGCCCTGATGTTTAATGTATAATGCGTGAGCTCTTGGGAGCCTCATTGTTTCCTTTTCATGCCCCATCCTTCAGCCTCAGGGCCCATCACAATAAATTGATTTACAAGATTTGACACTTTTATTGATTTCTCCATTCCTCACTTCACGAACCTGTCCCTTTTCCCCTTTTTTCTGACCTATTGGCATTTGTGGCTCTTAGTTCCTACATAGTTCAGTAGTGACATTCTAAGACCCTTCTCAGTGTGCAGCCTCTACTTTGCTGGGGTTGTTTCTCTTAAAAGATGAGTCCTAGAATATAAATGAGCACAAATCCCCAGGAAAAAAAAAAAAAAAAAAAAAAAAGGACACAATAATCTTCATAGTGGGAGAGAAGATATTGTAATCTAAGTACTAATTATTAGCTTTAGGCACCTTCTGATAATTTCAAGGAAGCAAGATAAGTTTGTGATTCAGCTCAGCATCTCCTGGGAGTGGTGAGATCACTTTCCTGCAAGGTATAATCAGTACAGTGTGTGTTTGATAGGTGTGTTTTTAAGGACTGATAAGTGCCATTAAAACTCACCAAAACTGTTCAGCTGCTGCTTCTGTGTTAAATCTTCCCTGTCTGTGGTTGTCTCTCTAATAACTGGTTTATGAAGGAAACATTTTTGAGTTTGTGCCACTCACCCACAAGCAATGCAGACGCTCATTGTTGGTTAAACTGCTTCATATCTGTTTGTCCCAATAAGGCTCTAAATCAGTGCTGGGGTAAATCCATTTATCAGGAGTGGAAGAATAGAGTCTGTTGTTTCCCTGGGATGGAATTACCAGGCTATTATTTCTCCTGCTTCAAGCTACAACCAGACCATTAGATAGATTCAGAGATTTTTCTTCCTATCCTGGCCAGATCCTTTATGGTTTTTGAAAATATTAGATATTTTACTTGAAAGAGTGCTGGAGATGAGATAAAGCTATTGGGCATTTCTTGAACCTTCATCAGTCTTAGATTCCTTCCTCTTCTGTCTTTTTACCCTATCCTCCCACCAAAGGAAAAAAAAAAAGAAATTAAAAAGGATGAAGTTGTATGCAATGCATTGGAATTGCAGGGGGTATTCTATACATCACTTGGTTTATTGTACTTTTATAGCCATAAAGTCAAATGTGGTTATGTTGAATTAAGGATTTTGTTGCAGAGCATATAGAATAAGGATATAATACAGTAAGGAGAAAAGAAACTAAAAAATAGGATAAGAAAGAAATGAATAATTTATAAGAAATCACTCTCTAACTCATTAAAATGGCCTGGCAGTCATGGAAACTTTAAGTTTTTCTTGTTCAAAAAGAATGCTTGCAGATGAACTTCTAAAAAACTAATCAAAGGAAAGTTTTCTCCCTCTTTAAATTTTTTGAAAGAGAAAATTGTTAGTCATATAGTTCAGATGGAAGTTTTTACTACAATGACTAAGAAGAACTAAAACCATTTTAAAAAGTGACTTCACTCCTTGAGTTTCCAGTGACAGGTAAGTGATCTCAAAGTAATGACAAATTTCTTTTTTTCTGCCTCAAACAGATTTGAAGAGCCTGAGAAGGTAAGGGAAGAAATGTGGTGGTGATTTTTGGGGGATGTTTCTGTAAGTGGTGCAAAGACCTAAGAAGGAGCATTGGGGACTGAAAAGTGGCATTAATATTTAGCAAAATTCTTCAGCTGCTTTTGTGTTAAAGCTTCACTATTTGTGTTTGTGTTGTTCTCTGTAGCAGTTCCTTCAAGGCCAGGAGATTTACACCAATGGTTAATTTTTCTTAATAATTTTTAGATTTTCATCATAACTATAAAAACATGAAACAAAACTTTTAACCATACTCTTTATTCCTTCAGATTTTGGAAAATAGCAGTGGTGATTATTTTGGTAGGGAAACCTTCCAAGGGATGGGGAGGTGTGAGAGGAGCAGTGTGGGATTTCCCTCCTTGCATTTCTGAGTCACCTGCCTGAGATTACCACTCCCACTTTAGGCCAGAGTGAATGTTATCAATTAATATTTAAGGAAAAGTGGGAATGCAGAGTTCTGGCTGTGGTTTTTCTCCTGAATTGAGCTGTCCCAACTGTTGTAATTGGGCTGAAATCTCATTATTGACTCTCCTTTCCCCAAAAGAACTGATCAGTCTGTGATCAAAAGATGCTGAGCATCACACCCCATCTAGTGCCAGCTGGGAGAACTCCTGGAGAGCCTGTGGACAAGGTCCTGGATGGATTATCAGGAATTCCTGAAAAAAAAAAGAAACAGAATGGTGAGCAGTAATTACTGCATCATCTGTCTCCTCTCTGAGGCTCTGCAAGCAAAGCAATGTGTTCTAAAAAGGACCAGTCCTAAAGACCTTGTAGGAGCATAGCTAAAAACAGAGTTTGATTTTCCAGCTCACAGTTTTCTGATGGGTGAGATTTTTTCAAGTTTTTTTTAGTTCTCCAATATTCCATAAATGCATTTTTGGGGGTGTGACCCATTGATTTTAACTTCCCCTTAGCTCATTTTTTTCTACTTGCAATATAAACCACTGATGGAACAGGTTCATGAGGGCTGGCATCCTGCAGTCATGCCAAACTATTTATCCTTTTTTTTGACTGTTATTTCTAATTTTAAAAACAGTGTGAGTATATTTTCCTTCTCCTGTTTCCATCCAAATAAATGCAGGGGAAACAAACCAAAGAAGAGCCTTCCTCTTTGAAAATAAATCTTCCAGCTCTTGTTTGATCCATCCTTACTATCACAGCTCAGGCTTGCATTCAGCTTCTATCCATCACTTGAACTGGATTAATGTGCAACTGCTGTTCCTGGCTTTGCTCTTCCTTTAGAAGGTTGGTTTTTTTCAATCCTTTTCATCTGAAGCTGTTAAAAAATGCCCTGAGGAGCCATTCTTGTTGTTCAGATGGGCACTCGGAGGGTGCTGTGTGTTTCTCTGGGTGTTGGACACGGAACAATGTGATCTCTCAGAGCTGTTCTGCAGGAGGTGGCAGTGACCTGCTCAGCTCACAAAGCTTGGATGTGTTTGCCAGGCTGTCTGTCAGAGCCACAGCAGTCCTGGCTGCTCCAAAAGCCTGAGATTTAGGGTTAATTTGTGCATTTACAGCAAATCCAGTGCATCTCCAAAGCACTGGATTTACTGCACGACCCAGAGCAGCTGTGCTCTCTTCTGCATCTATTTGTGCCCAGGAAATCTCAGGCTGGAAATCAAACAGCCGTTCTGGGAGCTGAGGCTGTTTCATTTGCACAACATCTCATAGCAATGGAAAAGACTTAAAAACATAAAATGGTTTCTAAGTGATTGCCTGGACTAAGTATACTCATTTGACAGGTTTTTTGCAGCTTTGTGCCTTTGTCTGTCAGGAAAGTATAAATGCCTGGAGAGCTCATCCCTTAGTCCTGCACATCATTTTTTCTGCTGCTTGGGAGGAAGATCTGTGTGAGGAAGGGATGGTGATTGAGGGGGAGAAAGGGTTTTGTATTGTGGGGTTTGAACCAGGAGAGGCCTGACAATTAAAAAGATTATTGGGACTCTGTTGATTTAGATTGCAGGGAAATGCTGTTTCAGAGTGGAGCAGGTCCCACCCAACTGGAACTCCTCTTTGCCAGCCATTTTAATCCTGTTCCTTTCCAAGGTGAAGGAATGAGCAGTAACACTTGCTGGATAAAACCACAACAGAAAATTTAATTATAACAATGCATAATACATTGCCACAGCCCTAAATTCCAGCCCTGGCCTGGCAGCCAGCTCAGCTTTGCAGGAGATGGAGAGATTGAAACTCTTGACCAAGGCTGGGCTCTGGTA